TACTACACAGCCATAGCTATGTAGCGTTGGACTTTCCGAGATATATAGCTTCGCGTTCCACCATCTCGGCCACTAAATCATTGGCTCCTCTCCAGTGACCATTAAACACCACATTATACAACAGTAAATATGGTATAAATACAACCGCTTGTAGATTATTAACTAGATAGACTGCAGGTAGAAAGTGATTATCCCAATTCCCAGAGCCTCATCGAAATTCCTCGGCCGCAATTCCCACAACCCGAGATAGCTCCCGTGATTCAATCACGTGAACAATTTGTTCGCAACATCGGCGAGTTCTGCGCCGACTGCAGTAATGTCCGATATGAAAGGCGTGAGGCCGGCTGGAATCTCCTCGATTTCAGTGGAGCCTTTGTCAGAACGAGGGTGGAACGACCCTGCCGCAGTCACAGCAACCATCGTACGTCGGTTCGAGCGAGCCTAACTCAGACAGGCTGGCGTACGATAGTATGTGCGGTCACTGCGGTACTCACACGACGTTTGTCACTTCTGAACGGTCCCCTCAGACCGGAGAACAGCCTCGTTTCGATGGTAGCGTGGACGACCTGTCACCATCGCTCACTCCCGGCTCGGGAGTCCCGAGCTGTAGCAACAAATCTCCAGCCGAAATAACCCGCTGATCGAACGAACTGTGGCCTGTCGCCTCAGGCTCCGCGTCTTGCATCAGCTTTACAGCATCCGGAACCATGTCGCCCTGCTTCTCAATGTGTCGTGCAGCAGCAGCTATTTGCAGTATAATGAGCATAATTTACGTTCACCTCGAAGCTCAAGACTCGAGGGCCTCGAGTCGAGGCTCGAGTCGGAGACCGTTCCTGTATCACCGATGCGTAGCTTCCACACTGTAGCACAGTTTCACCCTCCTCAGACTCCTTATTCGAAGCTAAGGATTCTTGTGCAACCCAACATCGCTTTCTCTGCTAAGACTCGTATCCATATTAGGTATAGTGACGGAATAGAGTCTATCAAATAGACCGAAGATTATGATCCAAACGAATACTCCCTGAAGTACGTGAGATACGACTGGATGGAGTGTATCGAGCTCCAAAAATACGGACTTTTCAGTATACGTCACAGATCAGAATCGAATATCGGACGGGTCACAGACATATCTTGTAATCTCATGCGTTCTTTGCTACTTCCCAGAAAGTCTGACGAAAGTATAACAGAGAGTAGAGTAGACCAGATTAACCAGAAATGCTCGTCTGATGAGTGACAAACAGATGAGAGGCGTCAAGCCTTGAAGAATTATCACACACACATACTGTGTGGCGATCATCAGTTCTCGAGTTGACTCCCATCCGAAGTGCAACAGAGGCGCAGAGAGCTCATGAAAAGTGTGAGGACACAGCTAATGCCTAAAGATCGCAAGTAAGATTAATGATGCAAAATTAACCATTATGAGTTCCTTACACCCAATAGATGAACAGGTCCCGTTCAACGGGAATGTGAAGGTCACGTATCTCAGATAGGAGGTCATCCGCACACGCACCCAGATCCAATGCGGTAATAGCAGTTATCCGGACAGTTGGTGCAGTATCTGCGATCCTCACAATCGTTACAACCGCCCATACCAGCCTGCAGCATGTAAGCCACGGCCGCCGCAATGACAAGTGCGATGCGCATCAATAGGACAGGGAGCAACTGAAACCGCAGACGGTGAGATACTGTATGGCACAGGGCCTGTTGACGGATCCACTCGAATTAAATATAAACTCCCAAGATTAATGTGGTACGTATACTATTGTGCAGCTCGACACCCGTAGCCGATGTGACGTAGAAAACAGTATAACTCTCGAAGAGTTACCCTGTGTTTAGCGACTGAGAAGTCGATCGATTCGCTTGGCCTGCATACGTGAATCCGCATAGACGACGTCTATGCTCCGATTCACGTGTGCAGTCGTCTATTAGACGACTCGTTTGATCAATCTGAAGCCTCTAGAAGCTCGGGTAGTTGAGTCGAAATAACCCACCATACACGCACGTACAACAAGAAAGTGCCTACTGTTGTTGCTGAATATGCTCCGCTTGCTTCGCTTGCCCCGCAATTGCTTTGTGCGAATTATGGCCCGTGCATGCTTGAGGATTAATAGTTGTTCTCATGCAAGTGCAGAGAGGCGATTGTGCACCAGAGCGCTCCCAGCTATGATCCACGGTGTGTATACAGCGTTAAATATCCCACTCCTGAGCGCATGGGTCTAGTGGGCTGGAAGACAGAAGGTGTCGATGACTTTCAGCGCTCGAAGCATCGAGTTAGTCCGACGAGCGCCTCTGCTGGCGCTGCGCACGTTGCGCTCCGGCGGGCGCGTGCCGGCGACGCGACGCCTCGCACGGTCGACCAACAGATGCTTGCTCCCGAGAGTGGCGGGCTGGGTTGAAAGAAATCATACACGGCATACGCCGTCTGGTCCTATAAAGCTGCGGCGATGTTTGCTCAAGCGGGTAGCTTCACGACGGACCCTGGATAAGGGTGGGGGACACACCGCGGATGATATGCACGTGTGTGACGGAGACGCACTGTGTGACCGTCACACGGTGACGCGCCCTCCGTATCGGTGTTTAACTTGTGTTAACTAGTTAACCCTTATTACAATGTAGAATGAATCTTTCCAAGACTCCGTCCAACCTCCTAGAAGGTCTAATCGATGATGGAAAGGCAAGGTGGGCCGAAGGCCCGCGTGAAGACTCTGGCGGGAACCCTTGTAAGGTTATCTAAGATAACTTATCTTACATGGGAGTGCATCACTTCGGACAGAACTATTCACGCGTTCGAACCGGTGGCCAACACAGGAATTAGTCACCGGCACATTACTTGGGCAGTGACGTTGTAACGGTATAGGGTAATGGTTTTGATGTGGGAATATCCTAATTTGAAGAGGAGTCCTCCCAGCCCTCGATGGTTCCTGACATTATGATTGGGAATGACGCTCACTTCTGAGCAGTGAAGTGATGAGAGATTTCTCTATGCGCGCGCAATTTGTGTAGGCCATACAGTAGGACACGACTGGAGCAACGTGTTGATGCCGCGCTGGGATTGCGAATATTTCTCAAGCGTTCGAAGCATTCCGTGTTTTATCATCACTCCTAAGCTCCTACAAAGTTACTCCCCATTGTGGATATCCTGCTCATCTTTGGTATTGTTAACGGTGATGTTCACGTGGATGATACTGATAAAATTATTTCTGACAGGATGATAGATAAGCAGGCCGATATTGGCGGCCATGTTCCTAGATTTGACTTCGAGCAAACCTCTAAGACACCCCCTGAATGAGACTATCATAGCGTGGCTATGTGCTTCCTTCTGCGGTGGTGTTGGATTCCACTGAGTGAAATTCGCTCGGGCTGTGTAACGGTGATTACTTGAGATGTAGCACCATTGATGTTTCTGGCACGATTCCGACCGTTCATATTCCGTCACAACTCTATGAAACGACGATCAATTTTCATTCCCTCAGTTAGAATGTTAGTCGTTTCAAGGTGGTCGGTCGAAATCAGCTGATGCAAAAGTCAGTTTTCCAGCCACCCCAGTAATGCCATCTGGTCACCGTATTCGCCAAGGTTCATGGATAGGTATTGATATGCTTGTACAAGCAGGGCTTTAAGCTAACAGGCCCTTCACAGATCGCTCTGTCGTGTTCCATCTATACCATCCAGAGATCTATCCGGCGAATAGGGTCGGCATGTCCGTAGATGGGGAATCCAGATGCAGCGCTTAAGGACGCCGATTCAGTGCTTGCGTTTACTCAAGTGCATCGTATGATACGATTCGTATCAATGAATAAGGAAGTCAATATATCGACGCGATTCAAATACGGATTCCGAGTTGGTGAATAGCGCCCGCGATTTCGTGACTGAGGAGATCAATTTCGCCTATCTGAACAACACTTGTTTGGTGCTTGTATGCTACGGCGTGATGTACATCGCGGGAAACTTCCAACACGAAAACTACGATTCCGAGAGGCCTGCCTCACGTCACGTGCGTCACGTGGTAAGTCCTTTGTTTTTGCAACCCTACCGATCGCCATAATGCCCCACACACTGTGTGTCCGTGTATGGGATGTGGTATTTGTGTTATTCGTAGTGTATTCTTGAGACTCCCCAACACTCCACTCAAAGAAATTCTTTGAAAGAATCCTTGATGATTGATCAAGTTCATCGGTATCGTGATTCTCATATCGCCCGCATCTGAATCTTAAATGTCAGATTACAACAGATTCAGAATCTGTCAGCGACTTTCTCCTTGTAGTACTCTAAGTTTGAGTACTGCAAACAGAAAGCAGCAGAGAGTCCCTGCTGCTTGCGACTGTTTGAGAGTCAGGCCGAATGCAGCGCGCTCATGCGGACATACATATAAGGATCCTTCTGGAGCTTTGTAAGAAATCTGATGTGGGTATCATATCAGGCGAGGTCTCCCTTCCCATCGGGCCAACATATGCTACCAGATTGCTATGCCATTTAGCCAAATCAAATGACCTCAGTTAAACCTCTAACTCTGCGAGCTTGCGCTTCAGTGCTTCCCTCGCCTGAGCCTCCAATCAACTATTGTGTTGCTCATTCAGCTCAGTTGTGTCGCTTGTCGCCCATACTTTGCCGCTTGGCTCGTTTGAACGTCACTTCTGCTACGTAGAGCTCAACGTTGTGCTTTTGAGTTTTACTAGCGATTTAAACCTTTCCGTTGACGTTGGGCTAACAAAAGGAACCGCTGAACCCACTTGATAACAGAAGATGTTTCCAGAATTTCAAGATGCGCCCCTCGAACTAGCTGAATGTGGCCAATTGTGGAAAGACCCTGTACAGGATTTGTGCGATAAAGACGAGTAGAGAAGCCTTGAAGTTGATTTTACTGTTAATAGTCGATCACATCTTTCCTGTGAGAAGGGCTCTCATTGCGCATGTCGATTATGATGACCAACGCCAATGAAAATTCTCATCAACAAGCGACCCTTGGGGAACGCAAATCTCGAAAATCGCTGAAAATCTTCAACATAGTTTATGATGATCGAGATGAGAAAGTAATGATGAGAAGTAGAAGAACACTAGCGAGCATAGCAAGCCAACAACAAGAACAATAGTAATATAGTTTATACAACACAGTGTCAATCAGAGCTCTCATGAGGGTATACGCTCAAGGGGTCGTAATAGAATGTTGGTGTTCAACAGCGACAACAGAGTCGTTGCTGGTGGTCACACCTGCTAGTGGCGACTGCGGTAAGTGCGTCGCAATATCATGGACTAGATTTGCCACATAATAGGTATTTGGGATGGAGTATCTAATAACATACAAACTCACTGTGGCACGGGAAGGGAGCTAACGGGTGTATTCTTCCTCAGGCAAATCTCAGAAATAACGTTTTTCAACTGTCCACGTTGACAGTTACAACAGTGACTTACTTGGCCTTAGACACCTTACACTGACCCACTGCTATCGAATAACAGGCATCGTGTAGTTGTCGGAGTGTCTCTTTCATCGACTCTGTCGTTGACGATTCGTCCAAACACGATACAGTTGATGCACTCGTGGCCTCACCCGAGGCATTTACAGCTGTGAGAGCTCCCGAATCAAGCTGCTGTTCACGATGCATTTTCCGACTAGAGCCTCTGAGGATAATGACACTGTAATAACAACGAGAGGATTATCGTACGTTGTAGTCGGGGATTCAGCCACTACTGCGTAGTCATTCGTAGCAGTAGCCTCGCCTGAAATAGTATCATAGCATAGTACGGAAGGTCAAACTCGTCTTACTTTCGCATTCTAAGGAGTCTTTACCGTCATCATGCATAGGTCTGAAGAACAACGAAATCATACTCTTCCATAACAAGGACCCAGGTTCAATTCACACGGAAAGGGTTTCTAGTAGGAACTTCCTACACTGGAGTTTCACCCGCGATGAAAAATACATTTCACGACTACTGCATATCACCGCGAACATCGGTTCTTTTACTGAGTCTTACGCCACTTCACGTGAAGCGGGTAAGACTCCATCAACCCACTTAAGCTGTTGGGAATTTCCTAAAGCTCTGAGAGCGTCACAGCCCATGATGTCCATAATGCAGTCAGAACTCGATTGCCTCGACGATGATGAGACGCTCCGTGTTGGACAACCATGTTGGTGTCTGCAACCCGCATCCCACACTGTCCATAATTTCATGGCGCGTGAAACTTACCGGGTGTATTTGGGTAGCCATTGTCGAACGAGTGTATCTTCCACTACTTGGTAAACATCTTCATCACGGAAAGGATATGCGCCGATAACGACGCAAGTATCAACCTACGGGCGAGCGCTTTTGCTTTCGAACTCCCGCACATTCGCTAAATCGCGGATACCTTAGAATCAGAAGCTGGGTCAGCCTCGAGTATCTCATAATGTAGTATCTTGTCGAGATTGGATGCAAGTGAAGAATCTTTGGGTCGAATCTCGATATACCTAAAACATCATGAAAGTGATCGACAAGCGCCACACACTATGCTGTGTATTCACGTCATAATGCAACACATGGACTTGATTCACATAACTCCGTTGAACTCCTCAACACAGTCACTACGAATTGGATATATGATAATAACAACGTCGGGGAAAGCACCAACATCTCGCAAGAGACGGCTTTACTTCGCAACATACGTTGACTGTTAAATGTTTTATCACGGTATATAATTTAATTCTGATTGATTTGAACGAGTTATGGTATATAGGTACAGTAGGAGCTGGAGTAGCAATAACAAAATACTCCTCATCCCGAGCAACGGTGATAGTACTAGCAATGGCGAATAAACTATACGTTATTAGAATATACGATATTGCTAGTGCTTCACCTGTTTCCCACGACGATCTCCGCATCAGCATTAGCCAGGGGGCCAGCCCAGAGCTGTATCATGAGGTCTCGAGTTTGAGGCGCTCCAAAGTCGGTTTGCGTATTGTCGAAGAACCACTTCAGACTGAACCTGTGATAGACAGAACTAACACGCTTGCTGGAAGCAACTGATCATGTGCTCACTCAGTGCGGTCGATGTAGCTACCAGGAGTCCTCTCTTGGAAGTATCGTAGCACTTCCTCAGCGCCGTTCATCCACCCACCGTCCGACGCTGAATAAAAATGCCTCAGCCAGGGATCGAACCGGGGACCTCGACAACTTACTGTCGGCTCTCGACCAAGCAGAACGTGATTGAGGAGAACTGATGCCTACGGTCGATTCAACCTGGAGCACCAAACTCAATCTATGATTTGGAAAAGGAGTGGTATCAGCGCTCACCTCAGCCAATGAGTTATCTTCAGTGATGCAACCGCATGCTAGCGCATCAGCGTACTTCCACACACCTTCCGGACTGACGAACCGAATCATCACAGATCAACAGCTCAGCCGACCCACTTTCTATAGATGCAACCGTTCTCAGGTAGAAGGTATATCGGTAGGTGTCCGAGAAGTCTCTCCACAATTTGCTTAGAGTGGCTCGTGGTCACGACCATTATAGTATCTAATAATTATGTGAAAAATGACAAGTGCGGGGATCGAACCCGAGACCTTACTCTCATCATTAGCCAAACGTTGAAGGCTTGCCATGAGATCCTTTGGCACCGACATCAGGGATTGATACAACTTTGCCGGTACTCCCCGTCTCGTTTTCGAGGGCACAAGACAGTCCATCAAATCAAACACCTGAGCCCATAATCGTTCCCAATGGGAAGTTTTTACTCACCAATAATCGTTTGGTGCTACACTCAATAGAAGTGCGTAACTTATTGAAAGGCACAAGAGGGGAAACCTGAATGACCAAAGACTCGAATGAAGACTGAGTTGCAGCAACTCACCGAAGCAGAAACGTCTATCCGGTCTGAACAAGCACTCTTGAGAGTTGCGATGAAAGTCTCGGCCCAACGTTGAGCGCTGTGATTATGAACTGAAGACGACGACCGGACGTTGTTATGACTAGAATGGTATTATTTTCCTACTGTATTTGAAACAGTAATCATGCATTTCCTTACGACGGTCCTCACCCATCGTTAAAGCTTCGTATATAGCCCAGGACACCTCCTCAAGGTTCCATGGGTTGATTCGAATCTGATACAAAAACTGTCAACCGACCGAGAGAGGCGATTCGCTTACACTTCCAGCTCCTAGGTACTGTGCAGCTCCAGCGAACTCACTGATCACTAGGACGCCGTTTCTGAAGAGCGATGATATTCATACCACACCTTCGGCAACTCGTGAGCTCAGGAGCTGACAATGACTTACTTGTGTTGTTGTGAGGCTACGAACTCGTAGGCAACGAGATTCATACCATCACGAATAGAAGAGATCAGCGCAACATCAGCAACTCTGTAAAGGGCAGTCTGAAAATAGCACGAGTCAGAATCGAACCAGGGTCATCAGTATGTCAGCCACTGAGCATAACCGCTAGGCCAAAGCAACACTTACCAACTCCTCATGATCAACGCATCCATCGAGATAGATCACCGGAGGACCAGTATAAAGATTGCTGTGCTTGCCACAAATCGATCCGACCATCTCGTGAACCTGCCGCTTCAGGCGCTGATACTCCGGCACTTCACTTCTAGTAGGAATTGCCAGTTGCACCTGGTAGTAGTACACCTCACTTCACACATTGATGGTATGGTAGCTCACCAACACACACTGAGATGCCCACTCTGGGTGCTCATCTAAGAACATATCAAAGGCTCGAAGTTTGTGTGGAATACCCTTTATGTAATCAAGTCGATCAATACCTGACCGACGATATCACTTCAAGAACCACCAAAAAAATAAACTCAGCTCAGGGGCAAAAATCAATCCGCAGAAAAAAGGTACAATACACTCTTAATGATCCGAATTGAACAACAGTTCACATTTATCGCTCGAGTACATTTTTCGCAAAGAGTTGTCAAGATTTCTGTCTGCTCAGAGTACACGGATAGAAGTAGCAACACACATAAAGAATCATCACATACGTAGTAGCTTACCGAGTATGACTTTTCGATCACCCCATTGCTCCTTCAGACTAGCCACTCGTGCTGCGACAGTGACAGACTCGGCTGTTGAAGTGAACGGAGTTGGGTCGATGCCAATTGGTATTGTAGCACACTTAACCTGATAAAAAATACAAGAAAAATGCCTCAACCAGGATTCGAACCGACGACGACGTCCTCCTCCTACAAAGTTGCCATTGAGAGGTGTTGCGTCAACTCCTTGCGGTGTGATCTCTAGAGTAGTCAACTGCACACAGCAGGACAGGAAGTGCCTCACATAGTCGTGTACCTGCATACCATAACTCAACCAACTTTCGTCATTCTTAATTCCTCCAACACGTGATAATGATGCAAACAAGCCCGCCAATTCAGTCGTCCGCGAGCGACATCATATTCCGACCTAAAACCAACAGGACTGAAATTTCCTCAAAAGATTGAAATTTTAGCGCAAATTTTCTCAGCTGGAAGCAGAACAATTCACACGCGACTTTGGAAAAAAGCGTATAAAAACAAAAAAAAATCCCAAAATTTCGGCGACACTGACAATGTTAGAATAAATGGTTGCTTTTCTCAGCTGAAGTCATAATAACTTACCCACGACTCGGGAAAAAATATATAAAATACAACACATATTTCCCGAAATTTTTTCATCGTCATCAACACATAGAGTTGACCATGTACACGGGATTTCATTCAACTTTGAGAAATCGCATTACTTAGAGCTCACTAGCAGTTAAAAAAGACTCCTAATGTGATGACATTTGCATGGGAAACTGATTGAAGAATGTGTTCCTAGCCATACGTGGAAACTTCAAAGACGAGATTCCCCCCAGGAACATTATAGGTATAATATACTTACATGGAAAGCGAGCAGGTTTGCTGATAGCAACCCTTGTAGGATTTCTTCTCTTTGCCTGACAAATGCAACTCGATGACATCTAGCCAGACTCAGTAAGCCTACGGTAACATCCGATATATCTCAGCCGAGGGGAAAGGAGTGTGCAGAAACCAACCGATATTCGCGTTGGGGACTCTCTCACGTAGGAGCTTGGGCACCTAAGAGCAATTCGTCCTGACGTATACGAGGTAATCCAACACTACCAACATCAGGTGGTAGTCGTGGACCCACACCAGATCGTCATCATGCAAAACCTACAGAGAGGAGAAAAATATCTTTCATGTGCATGCGTGCAAATATCTTTTCCCCCCTACCTTCATGATAGCATCGACGAACTTAGCATTAGCTTGTTGATACGTTTCCCATTCTAGTGTTCTTCCTGCTATAACACCTGAATAGAAACAGCAGTCAGAGCTTTGAGAAATAACGCTCCTCCAGGGCTTGATAACAATAGTGAAAATGATGATCCTAATGCGACGACATTTACACGGGAAACTGATTGAAGAATGTGTTCCTAGCCATAGGTGGAAAATTCAAAAATGAGTTCCCCCCCCGGGAACGTTATAGGTTCCTGGATGATTTTACGGACCAGACAGTCACCGCCGCAACATCAAAACGCTATACCATAATCAATACATCTCTACAACAGTGTGTGGGGGGAAATGTGCACATGGTCAACTACATATGTTGATGATGATAATATGACCATTCGTTCTTCTACCTGAATTTATATATAAACTCCTAAAATCAGTGTGAAAAACGAACATATATTCCGATTTTTCCTCTAAAAATTGCGCAAGACTTCCCAACTCACGTTCAGTGGACGGAGTAATGTAGTGGAATAAAGGCCACAACGTATTGTTACAAAAGCCGTTATAGTACAACTCGATTTCGCTATCAGTGAGGAATACCGGGTAGCACCCTTGCTCTCGAACCTAAGAATTAGATAATGTCAAAATCTGAATCTAGATTCAACTGTCCAGAACATTGTATATATTCTTCCATTCGACCACACTACACTGGAGTTTCACGACTACCCGTTTTACGTAAAGTGGCGTCGTAAAACTCGGTGGAAACGCGGTGATATGCAGTAGTAGTCGTGAAATATGTTTTCCATATCACTAGAGTGAACACCATTTCTTTGAGGCCACTGCGCCGCCCGCCACATCTCATGATGAGTCCGATCAATCTTAAGGCTTTTATATTTCCTCCATCATCTCTGTTGGGTTCTCTCACACTACAAGATTGGACAGTCCTACCAGTTCAGCGACTTCCTCCTTGTCTTCATCGGGCACCTCACAGCCCGGCCACCCGATCCAGTTCATGTCGATACCGCTAACACCACTGAGTGCTGATACAAGCCCTCCTGAGCTTTTACTGGCAACCCATTTCCCCGTGTCCTTGTCCTTATGAATCGTGCCTGCCCAAAACAAAACATCTAAACAGCTCAACGCGTTATGCCACCCTGCTAACAACCCTAAGGCCCCAGGTTCAATTCCCCGATATGTCATTTTTACTTACAAGGTAATCGATTCGCCACTGAAATGAGTCTATGCCGTTCAACCGACTGAGGTGTCTTTTCCTCCCGACTACGACCTTGCGAGTTCCTGAGAAGAGCGTTGAGGAAATGCAAGATTGCAAGATTTCACTTACTCGTCCACCTCCTCAGCAATCTCACTAGCGATCTCCGCTTCAGCAACACGTTCACTTCCAGAGAGAACAAGTTCAGTGAGTTTTTCTTGGGCAGTTTCTTGAGGCGTTACCATTATGGCGATTGAAAAACGAAACTTCAAACTGGTGGTGGCCAAAGCACACGAGATGATGAACCAGCATACCCCTCCTAATACCACACCACGAGCAAACAGGTGCTTTACATAACTAACAGCATCGAAAATGCATGTACAATATACAGAGGGCTCCTTATGATCAAACCCGCAATTTTAATAAGTCCCAACCTAACTAAGGCGAAAGTGATACCACTCCCCCCTGAAGTTACTCTGGATACATACTTAATACTCCATAGGTGGCATCCTACACTAGAGTAGTAGTGACCAACAATCATTTCACATAAGGCCTCCATAGAACCGTCATAATTACACAGCATCATCAATCGTTCCTTCCCTAACAATTAGTATATGTATTCTTACAAAATTCGCCAAAGCTCTCCGACAGAGCCTAGCGAGAAAGCAACCAACACAACGTGCTGTCCCCAATGCAATACCAACACAAACGTGTCCTCAAACACACACTATCATCGTCACACTTTAGCGACACGGAGGGTTCCCATTTATGAATATATTCAGAAATAATGAACAGATCTAATATATAGAAAGAAAAACTACTGATGTTATACATATATGCTTTACTATTTACAAGGAAATACGGTGGAGTGGATTCACCACCCTAGTGATATGAAAAACATATTTCACGACTACTACTGCATAGCACCGCGTTTTTCACACTTCACGTAAAACGGGTAATCGTGAAACTCCAATATAATCTATCCCTCCACAGCAGTCTGCTGTCACTTCCTCCTCAGAAATAAACTTGACTAATTTTTCCACCGCACTTGTCGTCATTCGACTTCGCCATTTCCTTATTATACACTAACATTAACGAGTATTCCTCAGCGTGTTGATGTACCTATTGTAAGATGCTGCTGCTGCATCATCATTGTTGCTATCCCCCATCAGCCGTAGAACACAATGTGTCTCTCCAGGCTGAAGGATTCCCCGCAGCTGAGCTCACGATGAAGATAGTCTTCGTCGTCTAAGGCTAAGTATTAACAGGCAGCCTTGGAAGGCATATCCACTGTAGTGTTATCTCAGTGGGCGCCATACAAACAATATGATTTTGAAATTTTTATATTCAACAAAAAACAATTTCGAGTAAAATATGTTATTCGAAAATCACATCTAATATACAGTTTCCGTACCTGTACCAGATCTTGGCCGCCCATTTCGGAGCTTCCGAATTTGCAGCCGTACTTCCATAATGGTAAAGAGTGCTGATATGAAAAAAATATCATGTGGTATCTAAATTCATCAACAACACTTTCCCGACGAGAGTCAACCGAGCAATACGTAATGACACTGGATTTTCACCCTAGTGATATGAAAAACATATTTCACAATTGCCTTGAAAACAATTATATTATCGGTGTTGGCGGAATCAGCATAGACGCCTTATAATTCACATTTAGTATTATACCACTTCAGGGGTCGTGAAACTCCAATAATTTCTATCCATGGACTAAATTAGTATCAAAATATGATGGATAGAATCGTTATTGATATATCAAGTGAAGTTTCACCAACCTAGTGATATGAAAAACACTGCTGCATATCACCGCGTTTTTCACCGAGTTTTACGCGTAAAACGAATTAATCTCCAATGTGCATAGAAGATACATTCTGTCACTCGCCAGGAAATTCTATAAAATTTTCTTCAAATTCATTCACAATTAATAGTGTCTTAATTTCGATTAAAATCCAATTACAGTAAAATCAAAGGCTTAAAAACTAACACAATGACAATAACCAATATTTAAATAACCACTTCGAGAGCTCTTGAGCTTCGTTGAGGAAATGCAAGATTTAGCAAGAAAGCAAGTTTGCGAGGTCCTTACAATTCAGTAGTCGTGGAGATCTTTATTATTACTATGATAATAATAATGAGGATATTCGTATTAATTTTATATTTTTTTGGTCTCGATGTTTTATTTTTTCGGAAAAATCAGAAAATTTTCCCTTCAGAATAGGTACATTATAATCAATATAGGCGTATCATCGTCGGTCAACAGTAACTGCACTTAATACATTGGAGTTTCACGATCACCCGTTTTACGTGAAATGGCGTCGTAAAACTCGGTGATATGCAGTATGTTTTTCACTAGTGTTTTTTTCATATCACTAAGGTGGTGAAACTCCATTTATGAAAACTCTAAAGTTAAAAAGTCTAAAAGTCATTTAGCCTCGACATGCATGTATCTCGACAGGTTATGTCGTTTTTACCCGTTGAAAAACGTTCTACTCAGCCACGTTTATTACAATGTTAATTTCATCTACCACTCCTGGCGGCCCGAATCAACAGCCCCTCATAGGGCCTTCTTTACGCCCATTGCCCCCTCGGAAGTTGGAATACACGCCTTTATACTTCACTATAGACAGTTTGATCGATCCGCAGCGCCCAGCTAAAGCCTTGACTACTGTGGAAAACACGGTAACACGAAAAGGTAGTACTTGGGAAATGTTGTTGTTGATGATGGTGTCGCTTTAATTTACTTCATATCGCGTTTTTCACTTGGCGTTGAACTGGTCGTGAAACTCCAGTGATAGTTGTGTATATTTACTATTACATAATCACTGAATAGTGATAATTTCCAATAATATTATTACCTTTCGTGTCCCTAGCCTTACTAGGGGTATATATAAAAAAGTTGTTACAGGAGTTTCACTACCCTAGTGATATGAAAAACAGTAGTGAAAAACATATTTCACGACTACTACTGCATATCACCGCGTTTCACACCGAGTTTTACGACGCCACTTCACGTAAAACGGGTGATCGTGAAACTCCATAGCTTTTCCCTTGGCTGAGATTCCGAGCTTGATAGTATTTATTATCATTGATCGCAGTATCAGCTTTGGCTCAACGCCCCACAAGAATTATATGATAAAAAAGTATACTACACAGATTGGGCTGGTATTCACTACTCGCAAAAAAGTACGCCTACTGCCAACATCATAATCAGCGATAGTACATTCATGTGCGCCAATACGGCCGTAGAATTCGTGCAATGGGAGTGCAACATCCCAGAACTCACAAGAATTATACAAAAATTATGATTATTATTAATCATAATAGTTATGCTTTCTGTCGTTATTATTCGGCCAGTAATGCGCCTACATCACCATCTGTAGAGTATGGGTATTTTCTAACTTCCAAAGGCTCAGGCGTCGTCAAAGTCTATGTAGCAAAAATGCTTGTCATAATGAAGGAGCGTAAATTTTACGTCCTATAACGAAATTTTCCGCAATTTTACGCCCTTTAACGAAATTTTCTGGAATTTTACGTTCTATAACGAAATTTCCCGCAATTTTACGCCCTTTAACGAAATTTACGCCCTCTAACGAAATTTTCTGCAATTTTACGCCCTTTGTCGAAATTTTCCGGAACTTTACGTTCTATAACGAGATTTTCCGCAATTTTACGTCATACAATGACGACTTTTTCAGTAATTTTTCGTCATGAAATTCGTTGAAAAATGGGTCAAGACGATATAGCTCAGGAATTGAAATTTTCATAATTGTATATTTTTGAATTTGAACTTCTTGAATACGTTCGGAAAAAATCCATTTTTTTCATAAAAAATCATATCAGCAGCATCGGAGTTTTGGATGCTACTCTCTTCGCCGCATTGAGGATTCTAGTAGCTGGGGAATTAATGATGGATAAAAATGCAGAAAATAAAAAAACAATGAAATTTAGTGAACAAGAGTGAGAAAAAAATAAATGAAAATTTGTGAATAAAAATGATGAAAATAAAAAAAATAAAAATAAAGAATTGATAAAAGTTGATGAATAAAAATAAATAGAGTAAGTAAATCATTAGAGTTTCACGATCACTCGTTTTACGTGAAATGGCGTAAAACTCGGTGAAAAACTAGGCGATATTCAACGCGGTGATATGCAGTAGTAGTCGTGAAATATATTTTTTACTAGTGTTCTTCATATCACTAGGGTGGTGAAACTCCAATAATACGATATTATACATTTTTTTCAATTTAATAAATTCCCTTTTTCTTTTTCCTCAGTTCCCACGGCTTGCCGTCGCTTCTTCCAACCGCCCCTATGTGGAATGTTCACGTCCGATAACAGCAGCATTCGAGTGGATGATCCCGAGCTGGCGACCAAACGTACATGTGTACGCCCAAAGAAAGAGTCCTTACATGGCAGTATGACTTCAGCGAAGAGTCGGCGAAAAGATGGGACTGTGAAAATGGAGTCGACGTAATATTGAGTTTTTCGGATCGTGAGAGTGCTACTAGATTGTTTATTGGAGTTTCAACACAATCCGTTTCACGTGAAATGGTGCGATATTTGTGGTGATATGCAGTAGTAGTCGTGAAATATGTTTTTCACTAAATTCTCTTAATACGGTGAGGAAACTCCTGAGCTCAGGTGAGGAAAACCAGAGTTATTTTCTCTCACGGCTATTCAGCTGGCGTTAATCATCCTGTTGATTTCAGTTCATCGGCGCGACAAGGAAAGCATGTGGTGTGCCCAGCTATGTCAGTGGAGAGAAAATGGGAGGCGGTCAATATTCTACAGGAGTCCCTACCTGGTCTACCCGAGGGTCATGTGGAGAAAGCAATGTAATAGCTTAATGCGTTAGTCCTCTGGGCTCATAAGCAGAAGGTCGTAGGTTCGATTCCACGGGTGGTCATTTTGTCAGTTTCTCCGCAACAAGTAGTCGCTTTGAATGCTGGAGTCTCGTCTTGGACGGTGGCGATGGCGAGCTCGTGAGCGCGGCGGTTTTTGGTATTATTCGGGGAGATTGAGATTTACTTCAACGGAAGTTGTTGGAGTGGAAATATATGTTTGCTTTCCTCAGCTCAGCTCGGAGGGTTTCTCAATAGTAAGAAGAGTTTACATAAAAATTCGGGTAGAGTTTCCCAAATATTGTCGCCAACAAATGTAGTTGACCATGTGCATATATCTGCGGCAAAGTTGCAATTGTTGAAGTGTTATATGTTTTCCATTATATTCAGCGCGACATTACAAATTTGGATTTATTGAGCTGGCGTATATAGCCACCTCGGAGGCTTATCGAGGTTGTGGCTACGGTCGGAGTCTACTACACACTTTGATGCAACAATGGGTTCACGAAGGTAGTAGCCATACACATAAAAAAGGCCTACATCACCTCTGTTAGGTTTCACCGAGGTTATTAGTAGTGTTGATCAGAAGGCTGTTGGCTTTTTTCAGGCGATGGGGTTCGAGGAGACGATTCGAATACCGAAGTAGAATGAACATTTGTCAATTCCTTGGAGTTGCGACTTTGATTGTTTGTGGGGAAAAACTAATCCGAAATTCGCGCAATATTTTTTTACCAGAGTATTACGCCGTGTTTAGTCTGCAGTTAGTGGTGTTATTTATATCACCATCGGAATATTGGAGTTTCACGATCACCCGTTTCACGTGAAGTGGCGTCGTACAACTCGGTGATATGCAGTAGTAGTCGTGAAATATGTTTTTCATATCACCAGGGTGGTGAAACTCCATTAATATCAATTTTAATAGATTTTCGTTTCACCTACGTCCCTTTCGGTGATACAAAAATCTGCCATAAATGAAGTATCAAACTTATCGTCATGTTTTATTTATACGAGATGGGCATTCATATTTCTTCCATGCAGAATCGCATCTCTTGCCTAGTAGCTCACTGGAGCTTCACGACCCGTTTCACGTGAAGTGGCGTAATACTCTATGTGAAAAACTCGTGATATGCAGCAGTAGTCGTGAAATATGTTTTTCATATCACCAGGGTGAAACTCCATTGTTAGTAAGAAACGAGTAAAATGTGAATATTTTCTCATAGATTTGTCTACGCCCAGTGGATCGACACGTATGGGTCTGCGAAAACACTAGGGTGTGATATTGGAGTAAAACTAGCCCGGCTGCTGAGCCCGCGAGCAGTGATGGCTTCCAAACGCGTGAGTGGTCCGAGACTCACAGAGTAGTTGTAATTTTGTGATGGTGATCAGATTGCAGCTGATCCGGGATGCCCGGTGTCGGTGTTGGCAGGGCAGGAGAACGCACCGGGAGAAGACGAGGTTTGGTGTCGGGCGAGGATAACGAATAATCAAGCTGGTGAGATAGGTGGAGGAATATACGATCGCTTTCCTTAGCTGCGTTATGATTTTTTTGTTATCAAAAGTTTATATAAAAAGTGAAGTAGGAGTTTGCAGAAACGAAGTTGAATTTCCCAAAATTTCTATTTTGTCACCGACACATGTAATCGACCACGTGCATATTTTCTAACACGGGTGAAATGTATCGACCAGGAATTGAACCGGAGTCGCTCGGTGGAGAGGAGGGCATATTACCGTTAGGGAATTTATACTGTTCTCGGCGAGCGCACTATCTCATTTTCCAAATTCTTCAATCAGTTTCCCATGTAAATGTCATCACATTAGTAACATCATTTCCCCCATTGTTATCAAACCCTGGGGAGACGTTATTTCTTAAAGCTACTTCGTGGGTGCCTGGTTTCGGATTTCTCAAAGTATAATACAGCATGGGAGTATATGCACATGGTCAACTACATGTGACAATTTGTTGAAAAAAATTTTTTTGAGGAAATTTCGGGAAATTTTCCGTGATTTTGCGAGCTCAGTAGCTGAGGAAAGCAAAAATAAATATATATACTCTCATCGCTTCGACATCTCAACATTTACTCTGTAGTATTGGAGTTTCACCCGTTTTACGTGAAGTGGCGTAAAACTCCGTGAAAAACGCGATATTTGCGCCTTGCAATAGTCGTGAAATATGTTTTTCACTCGTGCTTTTCATATCACGGGTGAAACTCCATTGATGAAATTTTATTTCTTTTCAGCGACTGGTTTGGTGACCATAACATATCGTCACGGACAGGCTCATAGGGTGGAGACTTTACCCACGACCTGTCCTAGGCTGAAGATTGGTGACTCTTCTAATACGGCAAGTGGATTGCCTCATTTCCCGGCGAGTAAGTGTCGAGGGAAAATATGTAAATGGTTGTCAACTACATGTGTTGGTGATGACAATATTAAAATTGTGAGGAAATTCTCATTGGTTTTTGTATATTTATACGTGAAGTCGTATGTAAACTCCTGTGCTGGGCAGCTGAGGAGAGCGATTACATATATTCCTACTCCAACACTGTATAGGAAACTCCTGAGCTCAGCAGCTGAGGAAAGCGATTACATATATTCCTACTCCAACACTGTATAGGAAACTCCTGAGCTCAGCAGCTGAGGAAAGCGATTACATATATTCCTACTCCAACACTGTATAGGAAACTCCTGAGCTCAGCAGCTGAGGAAAGCGATTACATATATTCCTACTCCAACACTGTATAGGAAACTCCTGAGCTCAGCAGCTGAGGAAAGCGATTACATATATTCCTACTCCAACACTGTATAGGAAACTCCTGAGCTCAGCAGCTGAGGAAAGCGATTACATATATTCCTACTCCAACACTGTATAGGAAACTCCTGAGCTCAGCGGCTGAGGAAAGCGATTACATATATTCCTACTCCAACACTGTATAGGAAACTCCTGAGCTCAGCAGCTGAGGAAAGCGATTACATATATTCCTACTCCAACACTGTATAGGAAACTCCTGAGCTCAGCGGCTGAGGAAAGCGATTACATATATTCCTACTCCAACACTGTATAGGAAACTCCTGAGCTCAGCAGCTGAGGAAAGCGATTACATATATTCCTACTCCAACACTGTATAGGAAACTCCTGAGCTCAGCAGCTGAGGAAAGCGATTACATATATTCCTACTCCAACACTGTATAGGAAACTCCTGAGCTCAGCAGCTGAGGAAAGCGATTACATATATTCCTACTCCAACACTGTATAGGAAACTCCTGAGCTCAGCGGCTGAGGAAAGCGATTACATATATTCCTACTCCAACACTGTATAGGAAACTCCTGAGCTCAGCAGCTGAGGAAAGCGATTACATATATTCCTACTCCAACACTGTATAGGAAACTCCTGAGCTCAGCAGCTGAGGAAAGCGATTACATATATTCCTACTCCAACACTGTATAGGAAACTCCTGAGCTCAGCAGCTGAGGAAAGCGATTACATATATTCCTACTCCAACAGTGGAGTTTTCTGTCTGCCATACCACTCCTCTGTCGAATCCTATGTCAGGCACTAAGGTGCATCAATATCCCTTCGGTATGGGTGTTCAGTGGCCTGCAGCGAAGTGTAGCGATTGTGGTAAGCCAAAAAGCTCTCTAATTTGGTGGTGATTTATATATATTTAGTTGACCGTCGCAACCGAGCGAAGCGATGCAAGAATTGTCACAAGTGTCTGGCGAAGCATTGCATTTGTCGACGGAGTGGTATGGGAAGCGATGTGAGATTATTAAACTGCTCATACCGTCTTTTTGATTCATCGCGTTGCAGGTCCGGACTAAGCTGCCTAGGAAGAAGGAGACGGTTGTGTGTGGATGCAACACCATACGATGTAAGAGAGCTTTCTATTCCTGCTGGTGATGGCCTTGGTCGTGGCATGGGCGAGCGAAACTCGATTATTTGCCCTTGTTGCGGCCCTCCAGAAGCGTCCCAAAGGGCTCGGAGATCGAACTATCGAGCATATCTGTGGGCTCCCTAGCGAGGTGGAGAAGCATGCTAATTTTGCCCGCCCTTGAGTCTGCTTCCTGAGCCTGGCATACCCCCTAGTGAAAATAGTTTGACGTTTTCGATAGTTCTGTGTGGATTGATCGCAGAAAACGCATATATCAGCGTTTACTCAACACTAACGCAGAATAATGGAGTTTCACGATCACCCGTTTTACGTGAGGTGGCATCGTAAAACTCGGTGATATTCAGCGCGGTGATATGCAGTAGTCGTGAAATATTTTTCATATCACTAGGGTGGTGAAACTCTAATAATAGAAAATACTCATGAAACCAGAACTGATTTCGAAAAGTGTATCTTTGAATTCAGCGGAGTTGTATTATTTGATTATTATCACTTGGTCAGGTCCAGAGTGTGGCAACTGCTTAGCTTCCCATTGCACTTGTGTTGGCGGGCCTGCGTTTGAAGGTAGCAGTATGCTTACTATTGTCGTTGGTGGTGGTGGTGAACTCCACTTGTAGTTGCATCGAGGAAGCGCTCGGCTGATGATGGATTTAGTGACACTCCTGGACCGACTAAAGTGATCAAGACGGAGACTCCTTCTGGTGAGCTACGGAAAACTTTTGGGCGGAATTACTTCTCGAGAGAGGTATAGTAGCGGAACTCTTTTAGAACGTTTTATAGCCCATACCTCAAAAATGGGTAATTTATTCCGTGTTTGGGACTCGGGAGTTTCACCCTAGTGATATGAAAAACATATTTCCCAATTGCCTTGAAACAATTATATTATCGGTGTTGGCGGAATCAGCATACACGCCTTATAATTCACATTTAGTATTATACCACTTCACGGGTCGTGAAACTCCAATAATTTCCATACATGGACTAAATTAGTATCAAAATATGATGGATAGAATCGTTATTGATATATTAAGTGAAGTTTCACCAACCTAGTGATGTGAAAAACACTGCTGCACATCACCTCGAATATCGCGTTTTACACCGAGTTTTACGCCACTTCACGTTAAACGGGTTGTGAAACTCCAATGATGACACTATTAGCTGTTGTTGTTGTTCGTGCTTTGGCGAGTACTGCAGTTGAGTGAGTGTACACGGAGACCGGCGGTTCAATCCCGGCACCCCGCGTTCAATCTCCAGGCATTAACTATACGGGCTTCGGCGAAGTGAAGTGTGGTTGCCACCAGAGACGGTGTATGAAGTGTCAGCAGTGTAGGAGTACATCATCTATACCGCTCCTTCGTCACTTCCACCTCTGGCCTCACTAGCGATCCTCAGGCATCTCACGCCACTGCCAATGTGAAGACCCGACGCCTTATCCGCAAACGTCCAAGACACGCAAGCCCTCGAAGGCAGTGACGCCAGATAATCTACCTGTATGCAGTGGTCCTTTGCTGAGTGTGGCTACGCCTTAGTGTGTTAGATCGAATCTAATACCACACCAGAAGGAACTCCTATTAAAGAGCATGGTATAGCAGCGTCACCTCCTAACGTGGTCGCCCTGGCAGCTGCCGCGGCGGTGGCGAAAGTGGCTGCTAAGAAGGAGGAGGCGCCGGTGGGTGCTGTTGCAAGACGAAGTAGAAGAAGTGTGGTACGACCACAGGCGGACCAGGTGAGTTGTGCATTTGTCCATTATTGTGTATGTTGGCTTGTAAGGAGCCCGTGGCGAAGGTTGAGGAGATTCCCCCGATGGTGACACGGCGACGGACTAGGAGCATGTCTAAGGATTTTAGGAAGACCACAGCGGCAACCCTACTTAAAGACGACTCTTCGTCGAGTGCATCAGTAGGGCTCGGTTTTTGGCAAAATATGCACATGATCATTGGTGGTGGCAGTATCAAAATTCTGGGAGGAAATTCTTTATGCATTCTATCCGAATTCGTATATAATTTCCTATAATTAGCTTTGGAATCTCCTAAGCTCAGCAGCTGAGGAAGGCATTTATTTTTGCATCAGACCTCGTCAGCAGCGAAGGCTATGAGTTCTACGTCAGCCTCTGGTCACAAGTACGGTGACTATAGGACAGTGAGTGGAGGATTGGGTTTATTCGAGTGCTCTTGTTATAGCGTCAAGAAAGTGGTCTTTGTTTTGGATTACCACGTAGCGTTCATTCCCTTTCACCCACGGTCTTGGTCACTTTTGATTCTGAGCGGCTCAATCTCTGCGAGAGAGTTTTCTTCGAATTGTGTGCTAGTCAGTGGAGTTAGTAGGCATTGGACCCAACACGTGAGAAGGGACACGTCCAGGAATCACAGCGGAGCGAAGTCTTCCATGATTGTTTCAAAAATATCATACCCAGAAAAATTGAGCCTATGAACTGTAATAATCCATTCTGTAATTTGTTAATTAGATGTGGAAATGGTGTGGTATCACTGAGTGGTACTCCTGAGCTGTTCTTAGGCGGTACGAGACAGACGAGGGAATATCTTATGGACAGCAGCAAGCGGTCGATCTTGTCCGTGCCACCATAGGAAGTGTGACACGTGTGGCCTATGTGAGCGCTCACTATGTAAAGTGTATTGAATCTTCCTCGTATTAGGTGTTGCTCGACATTGTCATTGTAATGGGTGAGCATCATTACTATCATAAGGAGCACTTGTAACAAGTTTGATATTGTGAAGTAACTACCCTTCTCATCACAAGGAGTACATTAAGTCAGGGGTCATCGTAGTTTATATCTTGCGTTGAAAGTGAACGCACTCAGTCTTGCCAAACACTCGACAGAACACACCAGGGCAATCTGTAAGGAGGCTGTAAACTTTCATCTAAAGAGCCTCTAGCTGAATGCTATACTTGAGGACCTAACGATACGAGGCCAGTTTGCAATTGACAGATCTGTATGAACTGGTATATAGGGAAAGGGGGAACTTGCGACAAGAGCTAATTCGTGACGATCGATGAACATAATATGAACGCATATGCATTGGCGCGCTATCTGTTGCAGGGAGAGAGACGACGTACTAGATGGGCTGCTGACGAGGGTATATACTACTCAGATGGTAGAACCAACTATATCTAGCTATGACAGCTACTGATGAAAGGAGAGGAAGTAAGATAGCAATATTGAGTGTCCGATCAGCAACATATCCATCAACTTGACGCATACAGTACGTGTGAATTTGATATGCAAATGTGTGTTATTTTGGAGGACAAAATATAGTGAACAAGTTGTCGCTATCACAGTCCCAAACGGGTATTTCTATCACAACACATGTTCATATGTGTATGGGATATAGTTCCAGATTGATTCTCATCAACTAGGAAGAATATGGCACATTTGCATATCAAATTGGCAAGCACAGTACAGCATATCTCAACTGGGACAACTAGAGTGTAGTCAGAATCGACTCGACGATATGAGCTAGTAGATGTGACTCGTCATACGAGCAGACATATGTTCCAACATTTTTTAGCATTGTCTGGGGGTATACTAAACTCGATCCCTTTCCAAGAAGCTTTGTGGGAATATATACAGGTGAATTCATGGGAATCCCACATCTTTTATACAGAGTAAACTCGCTATGACATGTGTTGATCATAATAAGAGGATTCTGAGGAAACTCCTATTGATTTCTGCACACTTCTTCGCCAAGGCATGTGTAAGCCTCTATAATCAGTGCGGAAGCTCCTGAGCTCAGCTGAGGAGAGGAAAAACATATATTCGTCCAACACTGCCATACCCAAGAAAGCTTTTACTCGAAAGATCATCGTAGCGGTTCAAGTACTTCACGACGAAGTCGATGGTGAAGACTACAAGAAGATGAACCAACTCGTTAAGTACTACGGTCATCAGTACGCAAAAGTCGCAATGAACTGACTGAAAAGTCGAAACAAAATGCTGAAATTAGGCGGAGCGATGTATTGTACGACTGCGCACAAGCAGTGGAGCAAATTTATGTTTCATAGGAGCGAATTGCGCCTTTCATCGAGCAACTTCTAGAGTTGCTCGTAACGTTGCGGCGACTTAATTTAAGTATCCATGTGAAACATACCCAATAATGTGATGCAACTCGCCTTCATCACTCGTGTCTGCCATTAACCTTTCCCCGTCCAGTAACAGCCTTTAAGAGTCCTTAAGGGTGATGGCCTTGTACCCATAATGCACGGCAATAAGCGTTGTGATTACTCGCATTACTGTCAACACTGACTTGTGTATTATCCAGAGGATAAAATATTTATACCTTTTCTACCCTTTCTAACGACATTTGTTCTTAGTAAGATCAATTCCCCATGGATGGGGCAGCTATGCCAACCCAAGATATGCCTGAGTAAGATCAGTTCCGATGGATGGGGCGGCTATGCCAACCCAAGATATGCCTGAGTAAGATCAGTTCCGATGGATGGGGCGGCTATGCCGACCCAAGATATGCCTGAGTAAGATCAGTTCCGATGGATGGGGCGACTATGCCAACCCAAGATATGCCTGAGTAAGATCAGTTCCGATGGATGGGGCGGCTATGCCAACCCAAGATATGCCTGAGTGCGATCAGTTCCGATGGATGGGGCGGCTATGCCAACCCAAGGTTTGCCTGAGTACGATCAGTTCCGATGGATGGGGCGGCTATGCCAACCCAAGGTTTGCCTGAGTACGATCAGTTCCGATGGATGGGGCGGCTATGCAAACCCAAGATATGCCTGAGTAAGATCAGTTCCGATGGATGGGGCGGCTATGCCACCCCAAGCTTTGCCTCAGTTCTCCAGACAGGGCAACTAAGTCTCCCAGTGATGTGCCATTGTGTAACAAATCCCTCCAACCGGGGCGGCTATGCCATATGAATGTATCCTGTCGTACAATCAATTCTGTCAGGTGGGGCACATATGCCACAGCTTCAAGATATGCTTCCGAAAGATTCTCTTAGACACTACAATCGCGAGTGGTAGTCCATAGGTATCAGCTAGTTTGTATTGTAGTTGTTATTACGTATAATGGCGGTCCATTCCCGACCTGTAGGGGATCCTTCTGGCGTCGCTACGGACCCTGAGGAGTGCAGTGGAGATGAGGACGTCTGTACACTCATACAAATGCAGGGCTCTATGATCAGGGTAGTTCGAGTAATTAATTCTAAGTTACCATCCACTTAACTGATTTCATTTCGAATTATGAAATTTGCGGGGGGAATCTTCCTGGAAAGTGCTAGTGATGTGAAAGATGGTATGGTTGCGCTTCGTATTGAGAATACTATCCTTTGGGACTATCCATTTCGTTCTTAGTGTGATATCAACGTGCGACAGAATCCTAGGAGGAAATCCTGCTTGAAGGAGTGTACATCACTCCCGATAATATCAAGAGTATATCTCCTATCACTTATGCTTGTAGGCACTACATGAGGACGTCGGAGAGAAGGCCAGAACCGAGGAACGTCTCATCTCGATGTAGTTACCACCTCGAATCGCGAAATAATTTCCAATCCGCCCGGGCTGTTCCCCTTGGCATGGGAATTTCCGGATTACTTTTTCGTTAGCCTCTTTTAACTCGATCAATCAGGAAAAAATCAAAATCACCGTTAATAATCGACTTCTCAAAATCCAGCAATTGACATATATTTCGAGCGCCATAAGGACCTGCATTATGACAGGTACAAAGCCATGCTTAACACCCCAGCAGCGATCCTCGAGAAGAGCTCGGATGATGCTTCCCGAGATCTGCAACTTCAAAGGCTGCAGCACTTCCTGGACACGGTTCTCTACAGTAGATACATTTGCTCTCCATACCACGCCAATAGTAAATCATCTCAGGTCTGGCTCCTGTCGGCGAAGAAGAGGCCAGTAGTTGTTCTAAACAGGATAGTTCCTCCATAGTAGAAGCGGCAGAAGAGTGGTATGACAAACGGACTCCTTGGGATTCGAACCTGCGACCTTTCGGTTGCTTGCCAGGTGTCGAACCCTACCGAGCAGTAAAGGCGCCAAATGCCGGTGTGATTCAGTCTGGTACGCACATGGGCCGCTTGGAATAGAAATCGTCGAGCCCGCATCAAATTCATCGTGACTTTCCATGTGTTAATTCCAGACGAATACACCCCGGTTCGATTCCCATGGTTGTCATCTACTCTTAGGTATGTCGCAGATGGACGCGAGACAATTGCGTATGGCTGCAAGACTTGCGGACTGAGTGAGAGCGTATCCCATTTTGTACAGTGCGCGCAACAATCTAAAGAGTCGTTTCGTGTCACCATCATAACTTTCTACGTAGAGCTGAAAATTCGTATACAGGCTCTCCTAGTACTATTATATTGTTTAAATTTGTCACGGATTAAATTGTCATTACTGTCGTGTCATCAGGCTCAGCATCATGTATCTGTGTTGCCTGCTTTGACCGAGGCGATCATGAAGGTCACGACTTCTTTATATCGAGGTGAGTGAAGTCGCTGTATTGGGAGGTACCGGTTTTAAATGGATTCGCCGTTTCTAGTGGAATGGCTTCATACAAGGGTAGAATATTGTCGATGCCGGTGTTGGAGAAATATATGTTCGCTTTCCAGAGCTACTGAGCTCAGGAGTTTCCTATACAGTGTTGGAGTAGGAATATATGTTCGCTTTCCACAGCTACTGAGCTCAGGAGTTTCCTATACAGTGTTGGAGTAGGAATATATGTAATCGCTTTCCACAGCTACTGAGCTCAGGAGTTTCCTATACAGTGTTGGAGTAGGAATATATGTAATCGCTTTCCACAGCTACTGAGCTCAGGAGTTTCCTATACAGTGTTGGAGTAGGAATATATGTAATCGCTTTCCACAGCTACTGAGCTCAGGAGTTTCCTATACAGTGTTGGAGTAGGAATATATGTAATCGCTTTCCTCAGCTGCTGAGCTCAGGAGTTTCCTATACAGTGTTGGAGAAATATGTGTTCGCTTTTCACAGCTGCTGAGCTCAGGAGTTTCCTATACAGTGTTGGAGTAGGAATATATGTAATTGCTTTCCACAGCTGCTGAGCTCAGGAGTTTCTAGAGCTAATCATGGTGGAGTTTATATACGAATTAGAAGTGCTGCTGGTAGAAGTGGTCGCAGATCAACGAGAATTTCCTCATTAAATCATTGGTGCCTTATTATTATCAAGTTTTATATTACCACTAGATTAGTAACAGATGAAAATTTTGGAAAATTTGAGTAAGACATGTAGTTGATTATGTGCACATTTTCCTATAGTGTACAGGCCTATACAAGGAACTATTGTATAACCTGTTACTTCATATACAACGTTTGTATTTCATTTATTCAGATCGGACTACGGTTGTTGTGACTGTGGTGATGCGTATGCGTGGAGACCCCAAGGCTTCTGTCGGCGCCATACCGGGCCATTGCCGAATGTTGACCCTGCAGAGGCTCTGCCTGCTCTGACGAGATCGATTTTGGAATCTGCTATTGGTAAGGTTCATTTACTGGAGTTTCACTCGTATTACGTGAAAACGCGATATGAAGTGAAGTAAAGACACTTCGGGAATTACAGATGACCACCCGATATCGCGTAAAACACATGAAGTGTTTTACGCGTTATTCACGAGGTGATGTGTTTTTCATATCACGGGTGAAAGTCCATCATTGATTTGATGTGAATTAAAAGTGTAACGCTTAGTTCGATTCGTATCGCGTTCAATACTAATGAGGTCGCAGGTTCGAAACCCGGGGATGTCATTTTTACCGGCTTTTTTGGTCAGGCGTGGTATGTGGCATTTTATTAGAGATGATTCGACAGACCGTAACTTCAAGAGACGCTTCTGCAACGAGCACACCAAAGTGAGAGCTATTATTCGTGCTATTTTCATGAACTCGAGTGATTAGAACATCTATATGTGAAGTAATATGTAGATGATATCAATGGAGTTTCACCCTAGTGATATGAAAGGCGCTAGTGGAAGAGTGATCTCGGATTTCACTTCCAAGTTTCTCATGCGAAATCGCGAAATGTTTTGTCTGGTGTCATTCGCGAAGTGTTATTAATTCACTTCATATCGCGAATATCGCGTTTTTCACATGTAGTATTACGCCACTTCATGTGAAACGGGTCGTCGTGAAACTCTGATGATGAAATAATTATATTCATAATTTATGTTCTACTCTATATCGTATGTAGTGGAGTTTCACCCTAGTGATATGAAAAACACTAGTGAACAACATATTTCACATTCCACTTGGCGAAGAGTGCGTGTGAGCAGTAAAGCACGTGATGTGTCTTACACGGTATGGACTGATCTATCCGGTGTAACCGTCGGAGTGGTCATTTCTTATCGCGTTATTCACATGGAGTATTACGCCACTCCACGTAAAACGGGTAATCGTGAAAGTTCATAGTAAATGCTAATTCGATTTATGGAAATTTAGTGTATTTTCTACCCAGGTTTCCGTTACGGAAGGGCGGAGCTCATTTAGTCCGCGTCCATTGATTCGATCAATGAATTTGACATACGCCCCCGGTTCGATCCCCAGGTCGGACATTTTTCCGTCGAAAAAGACTTTCATACACATTCCTATGCGCTGTTTGTAAAATAGAGTTTCGCGCAAACCTTGGCATATGAGGAAAGCGTTTGTTCCATCTGATATCTGCACGCACGCACAACGTGAAAGTGTCTGTTGTTGTGGTATGTGTAAGCAATATTTTGTTTTAGTCTTCCTACTTCTGATGCAACAACGCGACTGCCTCTACTACTCGATGAGAAAATATCAACGATTCTACAGTGGTTTATGGAATTATCAACACTTCATGATGGACTAAGGCGATGCACGGCCAAGGCCATTTTGGAAACGCATGCGAGGCGATTTGATGAGGAGACGGGTCGTTTGGTAGGTTTTTTGTTCAATTACATTGGGGAGTAGGGATATATGTAATCGCTTTCCTCAGCTGCTGAGCTCATTAATTGGAGTTTCGCGACCCGTTTAACGTGAAGTGGCGTAAAACGCGATATTCGCGGTGATATGCAGCAGTGTTTTTCATATCACTATGTTGGTGAAACTTCACTTAATATATCAATAACGATTCTATCCATCATATTTTGATACTAATTTAGTCCATGTATGGAAATTATTGGAGTTTCACGACCCGTGAAGTGGTATAATACTAAATGTGAATTATAAGGTGTGTATGCTGATTCCGCCAACACCGATAATATAATTGTTTTCAAGGCAATTGTGAAATATGTTTTTCATATCACTAGGGTGAAAATCCAGTGTCATTACGTATTGCTCGGTTGACTCTCATGAGGAAAGGTCGTAGTAGAAATTGTTGATGATGAAGCGTGTGGGAAAATATGCACATGGTCATCTACGGGGTTATGGGAATTCTGGGAAAATTTTCGTAATTTCTATACACTTCTACCAGAGCTCGTACGAATCAAATGCCGAAAATTTCCTGAAATTTTTTTAATATTATCACAATCACACGGCGCCGAGCATGTGCGAATTTTCCTACGTGGATGATGAATTTAGATACCACAACACGAGCAAACATCTAGTACAATTATCGAGGTGCTCCTCACTAGTCTTCATAAGCTTGGAATAAAGGGAAGGAAAGCGCTGACTAATTTTATTGTCGACCAAATGCTTGATTTAACGTAAGTTTGGGAAATGTCGTAATAATGGAGTTCCACAACCCGTTTTACGTGAAGTGGCGTCATACTCCATGTGAAGTAGTTGTGAAATATATTTTCATATCACTAGGGTGAATCTTTAATGATAACTGTGTCGCAGTAGAATAAGAAATTTAAGTATCATAGTTTTCAGATTTTTTTCTCGAAAATGTGCATATGAAGCTGAAAAGAAAATTGAATATTTGAGTTCGCTGAGTACCTAGTGATATGCTCAAAACCAAACACGGAGAATTTCGTGATTGAAATTTCGCCCAGTGTTGGAGTAGGAATATATGTATTCGCTTTCCTCAGCTGCTGAGTTCAGGAGTTTCCTATACAGTGTTGGAGTAGGAATATATGTACTCGCTTTCCTCAGCTACTGAGCTCAGGAGTTTCCTATACAGTGTTGGAGTAGGAATATATGTAATCGCTTTCCTCAGCTACTGAGCTCAGGAGTTTCCTATACAGTGTTGGAGTAGGAATATATGTAATCGCTTTCCTCAGCCGCTGAGCTCAGGAGTTTATATGCGAATTAGGGTAGAAGTGTAGAGAAACCAACAAGAATTTTCCTCGCAGAATTTTAATATTGTCATCACCAACACATGTGCATATTTTTCCTTCCTCCTTTCTGAAATTTGATATCAACTATATAATGAGGAAATCTTGATTCAGATTCAAGCATGATTTCTCAATACTTTTCGTACGCCTATATCATGACTTGGCCTTAGCTCGGACGAGTCCAGCTGAAGTGGTAGGAATGGTTTGCTACTACTATCGAGAGGTCGCGAGTTCGATCCCTGGTAGGGGCGTTTTTTCTTCTTCCTTAGGGGGGCTTGGGAGTTGGGGATGCTTCTACTGAGATCCAGCGGCATAGTGAATTGGGCGACTTTACGTGTCAGATGTTTACTCGAAAAGACGTTACTGTTATGCTAGCCACAGAGTAGGAGGGGGGCTCACGAGTTCAACGGAGTTTCACTAGAGGTGTAAAAACAATAGTGAAAAAAACATATTTCACTTTTGCAGTGAATAACGCGTAAAACGTGTGGTATGTGTTCTACGTGATATGGGGTCATCTCTCTGAAGTGTTTTCAATTCACTTCATATCGCGAATATCGCGTTTTTCACATGGAGTATTACGCCACTTCACGTAAAACGGGTAATCGTGAAACTCCAATAGGGAAGGATTTGCGACTTATCGTTTTGAATTTTTTTCGGTTCTGAATATTTGAAATTTTTGAGATGGATATTTTTGGCGGAAGTTGACGTTAACATATTTTTACACCTTTGTGGGTTTCCTTATGCAAAAGCGTAAAAATTTTCCGAAAATTTTGGCAATATTTTAATGATTTCCCTACATGGTGAATTTATCATTGGAGTGATATGAAGAACATATTTCGCGACTACTGCATATCACCGCGAATATCGCGTTTCACACCGAGTTTTACGCGAAATTCCAATATAGCAGATATACGGTGGGAAAACAGTTCGCTGTATCGACTTATTAGGGTGTGTGCGAAAATGACCGATCGCTTCAAAATTCACATGCGATACGATGCCTTGAACTTATCACCGTGATAGTGCTGCTACTACTACTACTACTACTACTACTACTACTACTACTACTACTACTACTACTACTACTACTACTACTACTACTACTACTACTACTACTACTACTACTACTACTACTACTACTACCCCACTTGATGCATGGTAGATTCGATGTACTTGGTACGATATTGAGAACTGCACGAGACATGCTAATGCGGACTGTGATGCAGGAGGGAGGTGAGCTCGTGGGAAGGGGAGAGTCAATTATCATAAACCACTTAGGGTATATCTAAGTTTCCTCAGAGTTCTCATATTGAGGTTTCACCACCCTAGTGATATGAAAAACGAATTTCACGACTACTGCTGCATAACACCGCGAATATCGCGTTTTTCATGGAGTTTTACGACGCCACTTCACGTAAAACGGGTCGTGAAACTCCATTAATATTTGGCAATGCATACCGTGTTGGGACTCTGAAGTTTCACGTGAATTTATGTGAAAAAAATTCCGATATGAAGTGAATTGAAAACAAATGGCGAATTACTCCATATCACGTAAAACACTCGCAGTATTTCGCGGAAAAATTTTTGCTTTTAATCGATGTTTCAGGAGTTTATCGCGGAGTTGATATTACGCATCCTATCATCAAGAAACACGAGCTCACGCAGTGTACTATGGACTTGCTCTATGTGTTGGATCATGAGGAAGTAAGGCTTATAATTTGCTAATTTTTGGGAAAAAATTTTCGGGAATTTTTTGTTGATTTCTGTATGCAAATTTGTATATAAACTGCTGATCTCAACTGAGGAAAGGAAACATATATTTCTCGAAGTGATTATTCATTTCAAACGTAATAGGCTGAGACGAAACTCGGTGATAATATTGGAGTTTAACCACCCGTTTTACGTGAAGTGGCGTAAAACTTGGTGAAAAACGCGAAATTTTCGATATGAAGTGAATTGGAAACGATTCGTGAATTGCACAGGACAAGTCCTCTTATTTCACGCGTTTTACGCGTTATTCATTGCTCACATGAGGTTTTTCGCGAAGTGAAATGTGAAATATATTTTGCACTAGTGTTTCTCATATCACTAGGGTGGTGAAATTCCAATGATTTTTTGAAAAACAAAAACTAAATTGTAAATGATATTCGTTTATTAGGTTCATGAAGTGATAATGCGAAATGAGGGGAAGATGATGAAAGAGTAAATATCAGTGACGGCGGCGGGAATGTGCATCGAGGGTTTGTATTCATCAGAGTTGTGATGCCCGGATGGTGTGAAGTGCTGAAGTTGGCGCAGTATTGTTACGGACATAGAGTGATACGAGGCGATCATATCGAGTGGGTTGTGGGGGTGTTGGTGAAAAACAGATTTCACGAACCACTGCTGCATATCACCGCGTTGAATATCGCGTTTTTTTTTCGCAGAGTATTACGCCACTTGACGTCAATAAGGTCAAACTCCAACGAATCTGTTTCTGCTATATTCGATATTGCGAGCTCCATATTGAGTGAATTGTGGGATGTATGTCCCTTTGAGGAGATAACACCTATCACTGAATTTTGGAGTTGTTGTTGATGATGATGTCGTAGGGGCTTCCGCCTACAGCTGCACTGGGACGAGTGGTAGAAAGGCTTGTTAGTAGCATAAGCTAGCGTTGCATGTGAGGATTAAGAACAGCGCAAGATATGAATACTATGAGCATACGTGGTGCAAGATAATTATACTAGGCCTTCGCGACGAAGGGGCGGAGCTCGATTAGTCCGCATCTTTTGAGGAGATGTTGGGAAATAATGATCGTTGTGGAGATGTGATGATAAAAATTGATTTTCAGTTGCACTCGTCGTGGTCATCTGATAGTCGTAGATCTTGAATCGCGCCCCGAAATCTATGCCGATCCGGTTTCCGGGGTGGAATAATATTTATGCCATTGATAGTAGGAGTTTATATTTTCGGGGCTTTCTGAGATAGTGTGGTAGTAGTTGTAGTTTTTTGGAGGTAGTAGTGTTGGAGTAGGAATATATGTTTGCTTTCTCCAGCTGCTGAGCTCAGAAGTTTACGAATGCGAATTCGAGTAGAAGTGTGCAGGAGTTGAGGAGAGTTTGAAATGTTTGTATTGTCATCACCACGCGTAGTTGACGATGTGTATATTTTCCTCTCACAACACTGCACACGTTTTTTTATAAAGGCTCCAATAGTGTAACCATTGACACAATCTACTCGACTCGAGGGAATTATAATATATTCACGTTATTTATAGTATCACAAGATAGATGAATATCTAATACAGCTTAGCTCTACCACAAATGGGACAGCGACGCAGGTCCTTATAACAAGTGGTTGTTGTTGTTGTTGTTGTTGTATATGTTGTTGTTGTATATGTTTTTGTGTTGTTGTATATGTTGTTGTGTTGTTGTACATGTTGTTGTTGTATATGTTGTTGTTGTATATGTTGTTGTGTTGTTGTTGTACATGTTGTTGTTGTATATGTTGTTCATAGAGCCTTCCAAGTGGTTGTTGTTGTTATTATCAGATTCTCCGACCCAGACTGGAGTGGTGCATTATCCCTTCATAACGATGCTGTCAGCCATACATGGTTATTGATAGAGATCATTTATCGGTGAGTGCATTGGTCGGCTCTTGGGGGTTTTCATAGTTATGTATCACAGTGTTCACGTTGTTCATGCGGTACAAGTACTCGCGTGCAACATGTCACCGTAGGAATATCGCTTGAGGAATAATATATGTGAAGTTGTAAGAGTTGACCTATAAACGCCGACTTCCGCCTGGACTATACATCTTCTCAGAAATAACTTTGGGGAGGCTGTTTCTGCGCAGCGTGAAGGATTCGTTTACACATTATAACGAAGAGTCTTCTGTGTAGATAGAACTCTAACCCGAAATTGATGACCTTGTTCGTGAAAATGCATTCCTTAATCGTGAAATTGACGTCTTTATTCGCGAAATTGATTTATCTATTCGAATGTCATCGCTAAATTGATGTCCCTATCTCCGAAGGTGAATTCTTCATCCGCTGAATCGGTAGCCGAATCCGCCAAAAAGGTTTCTGAAAGGTATAGTATGCTAAATGGAGTATATCGTCTGAGTATTTCGAAAGCACGGTGATGAAGATTCGGTATCATCGTGAATATGTATGTTTTTGCGCAAAAATGATGACAACAGTTTCACTTTAATGAAATGTAATTTCCCTTTTCACGTTAGTTATGCCTCACCCAAGTTGTGTGGGGAGCTTCTACTGCAAGTCCGTGATGCATTGATAGATTGGGAAACGAGACTGGCGCCTGGTATCGGGGCGATAGAAAAGGATGAAGTTTTCGAATGTAAACCAACTGTGATCTGCTGTTATTCGACGTGTTTGATGGGCTGAAGTCGTTGGAGAATAATTCGAATTTTATGGACTTTTACGCGAAGTGGCGTAAAACTCGAGATATTCGCGGTGATATGCAGCAGTGTTTTTCATATCACTATGTTGGTGAAACTTCACTTAATATATCAATAACGATTCTATCCATCATATTTTGATACTAATTTAGTCCATGGATGGAAATTATTGGAGTTTCACGACCCGTGAAGTGGTATAATACTAAATGTGAATTATAAGGCGTGTATGCTGATTCCGCCAACACCGATAATATAATTGTTTTCAAGTCAGTTGTCAAATATGTTTTTCATATCACTAGGGTGAAACTCCATTGTATTTATTCAGTCGCTCCGAAAGCCCCGTTCGTCTGGTCGGAGGCTCAGGATTTGCTTAGTAAGATTTCACCTGTGTCGAGAAGATGGGATAGCGATCGAGATCTTTGCTCGATGCATGTTCCACTTTCGAGATTTTATGTGATGTTGTATACACTCACGTTGCAGAAGTAAGATACTTCTCGTTGCGCACGCGGAAGATTTTTACGCGGAAATTGGGCTAGGTGTGGTATGGAAGGAATACCAGTGCAACTTGGTGGTGATGATGATGATGTTGAAATAACGAGGCTGGTGGAGTTCCCGCTGAGGTCGTTGGTTATGCACGAGGAAGTGTGCAGTGGTTTGTGGGTCAGAAATGGTAAGCAAGGTTGGTCCGGTTCCGTGGAGTTTCACTCGTGCTGTGAAAAACCTATTTCACGACTACTCCATATCACCGCGAATTTCGCGTTTTTCACCGAGTTTTACGCCACTTCACGTAAAACAGGTGAAACTCCAGTGTTAGAGGAATATATGTTTGCTCTCTTCTCAGCTCAGGAGTTAACTCATTTACATTGGAAACCAATATTATTTTCCCAAAATTTCCATAAAGTCGTCAGAACATGTAGTTGACCATGTAAATGTACTAGTGTAACAGGTTTCCCTGTTGATAGTTAACGTTATAGTTTTTGTGTCATGTGTCTTAGCCTAGCAGTAAATACATTACACAAAACGCTAATGATATCAACAACGCACAACTCAGACTGTCACACTAGGCCTTCGTGACGAAGGGGCGGAGCTCACTTATTCCATATCTATGAATTCGATCAATGAATTTGACATAGGTCCCCGGTTCGATCCCCGGGTAGGACATCTCTCACACTGTACTTGGTAGAGTAGAACGATTGACATTCATTTCTCAAATATTCGGCAAACGAGCCTATGAGCGGCAATATGTTCATTCGGTTTACCACTCAGGTGACGCCGTACGATCCGAACATGAATTCTACGTTGCGAATTACTTCCATCACTCCTTTGCTGATGTTGATATACTAGCTGTGCTGCTGGGCAGTAAACTAAGCCGTGATTCTGGGAGATTCATAAAGTAAGAGTTGACCTGCTATAGTGCTCACTTGGTTTTATTTCATCTACGAGATGTGGAGGAAAAGGGAATCGGAAAAAATGTCACTAAGCGTAACGTATTCTTAGCGACAAGCTTGCATATATCTGTATTAATTTTTGAGTTTTATACTACTTTTAAATGCTCTGGCTTTTATGTGAATAGTTGATATCGTTGCTATGTTCACCTGTGCTTTGTGTATTGCGATGTTTACCTACTTCATACGTCAGTTTTCGGTTGTGGAGAATAAGTCGATATCATTGTGGTCTAATACGTCGATATACATACTGTCGTAGATGTGTTGGTCACAATAAGGAAATTCTGAGGAAATTTTGAATTTTTTTGGTTGGTTTTTGTAACCTTGTTACTCGGATTCTCGAATAGAGCCTGCGATAATCAGCGAGTGAATTATTGCGTTCAGCTGAGGGTAGCGAACATATACTCCTTCAACACTGGTGTTGGTATTATGTCATTACTCTGCACATGAGTGAGAATTATGCTGGTACATCTGAGTGTCGTTAAAATCTCAGTTGTTGAGGGAGGACTGTGTGCATATTTTTTATCAGATACTTGTTGTCAACTTTTGCGATTCGGCCGACGTTTGCCTGGACTGAGCATGTGCCTCCCTCGAGCTCATATTCGGTTGAGGAGGGGGAGAGATATGTGAAGAAACTCTGCTGTGTTGTCAAGGTGGGTATAAGGAGGTAAATAGGTTCGATGTGTCTGATCATATTGATAAACCAAACTTGTGAGAAAACAGTGGAGTTTAGTCTTATCGCAAAAACGACTAGTACAGTTTGTGCTATGTAGTGCGGGGGAAAATACGCACATGATCAACTACGTTTGTTGGCGATGACAATATGGAAATTTTGAGGAAATTCTGGGGAATTCCTGTTAGTTTCTGTGCACTCCCTCATCAAGTCGAGTTCAAATTTCTATAATTAGCTTTGGAAACTCCTGAGCCCAGCAGCTGAGGAAAGCGATTACATACATTCCTACTCCAACACTGTATAGGAAACTCCTGAGCTCAGCAGCTGAGGAAAGCGATTACATATATTCCTACTCCAACACTGTATAGGAAACTCCTGAGCCCAGCAGCTGAGGAAAGCGATTACATATATTCCTACTCCAACACTGTATAGGAAACTCCTGAGCCCAGCAGCTGAGGAAAGCGATTACATATATTCCTACTCCAACACTGTATAGGAAACTCCTGAGCTCAGTAGCTGAGGAAAGCGATTACATATATTCCTACTCCAACACTGTATAGGAAACTCCTGAGCTCAGTAGCTGAGGAAAGCGATTACATATATTCCTACTCCAACACTGTATAGGAAACGCCTGAGCTCAGCAGCTGAGGAAAGCGATTACATATATTCCTACTCCAACACTGTATAGGAAACTCCTGAGCTCAGTAGCTGAGGAAAGCGATTACATATATTCCTACTCCAACACTGTATAGGAAACTCCTGAGCTCAGTAGCTGAGGAAAGCGATTACATATATTCCTACTCCAACACTGTGTAGGAAACTCCTGAGCTCAGCAGCTCAGGAAAGCGATTACATATATTCCTACTCCAACACTGTATAGGAAACTCCTGAGCTCAGCAGCTGAGGAAAGCGATTACATATATTCCTACTCCAACACTGTATAGGAAACTCCTGAGCTCAGCAGCTGAGGAAAGCGATTACATATATTCCTACTCCAACACTGTATAGGAAACTCCTGAGCTCAGCAGCTGAGGAAAGCGATTACATATATTCCTACTCCAACACTGTATAGGAAACTCCTGAGCTCAGCAGCTGAGGAAAGCGATTACATATATTCCTACTCCAACACTGTATAGGAAACTCCTGAGCTCAGTAGCTGAGGAAAGCGATTACATATATTCCTACTCCAACACTGTATAGGAAACTCCTGAGCTCAGTAGCTGAGGAAAGCGATTACATATATTCCTACTCCAACACTGTATAGGAAACGCCTGAGCTCAGCAGCTGAGGAAAGCGATTACATATATTCCTACTCCAACACTGTATAGGAAACTCCTGAGCTCAGTAGCTGAGGAAAGCGATTACATATATTCCTACTCCAACACTGTGTAGGAAACTCCTGAGCTCAGCAGCTCAGGAAAGTGATTACATATATTCCTACTCCAACACTGTATGGGAAACTCCTGAGCTCAGCAGCTGAGGAAAGCGATTACATATATTCCTACTCCAACACTGTATAGAAAACTCCTGAGCTCAGCAGCTCAGGAAAGCGATTACATATATTCCTACTCCAACACTGTATAGGAAACTCCTGAGCTCAGCAGCTGAGGAAAGCGATTACATATATTCCTACTCCAACACTGTATAGGAAACTCCTGAGCTCAGCAGCTGAGGAAAGCGATTACATATATTCCTACTCCAACACTGTATAGGAAACTCCTGAGCTCAGCAGCTGAGGAAAGCGATTACATATATTCCTACTCCAACACTGTATAGGAAACTTCTGAGCTCAGCAGCTGAGGAAAGCGATTACATATATTCCTACTCCAACACTGTATAGGAAGCTCCTGAGCTCAGCACCTGAGGAAAGCGATTACATATATTCCTACTCCAACACTGTATAGAAAACTCCTGAGCTCAGCAGCTGAGGAAAGCGAACGTATATTCATAGTCCAACACTGATGTGGGTGGACCAGAATTGATCAGATACTCTGTGCGTTAGTATCACCTTATGTTTCGGGCACTACGGAGACTGGAGGAAAGCAGTATACCGAAGTGACTGCTAGACATCATTTGAGGCAACGACTGGCTGTTGCTGGTCAATTAACGTAAGCTTGGGCAGTGTGGGAAAATATGCATATTGTCAATTACATGTGAATGTGGCGAGAATATGAAAATTCGGGAAAATTTGGGGAATTCTCGGTGGTTCCTGACAGGAACTACCTTTATACTTTCTACCCGAATTCGTATATAAATTTGTATAGTTGGTGATAGTCCTGAGGTCAGCTGACGAATGCGAACATATGTTCCTACTCCAACACTGGGCTCGGGTGATCATCAGGTTTGCGAAGATAAAAAAATTTCAAGAAGTTATTTTTGGTGAGATATGGATTCCCGCTGATATTAAATGTATGTGAAAAAAACATATAAACTCAACACAATAAACATACAAATGATGTTCACGAACGAGTAGGGCGAGCGAGATTTACATTGGAGTTTTATCACCTGTTGGCAAAGAGTGTTCGCTCACTCCATGTTGTGGTGGGTGCAGGACCTGGGATGGACCACGCTCTCCGCTGAGCTCCACGTCCAACTCGCTTCCCAGTACTCACCACTGAGCAACTGTTTTACGCGAAGTGGCGTAAAACTCGGTGAAAAACTCGCGGTGATATGCAGTAGTCGTGGAATATGTTTTTCATCATATCACTAGGATGATATTGGTGGTATTCACTTTAGGATGTCGTATGCGAGAGATCCCCGTTTGGATAAGTTCACCAACACGTTAGCAGTAGCTGACGCGCAGTTGTTGCAGGACAACTTGGAGGCGGTGGCTAAGGCTGAGATTGAGCTTACTCAGAATACAACAGGACAACGCAGTAAGTGATTGAGGGGAGAATAAAAGGATACATGTATATGTAAATAGTTTTGGTCAGCGCAACTCTATTCACACTGAGTCGTCGTTGATGATACTCAGTTTTCAATTTTGTATTATATATATAAGCATAGTTGTTTAAACTAGCGCTAGCTTACGCTAGGATACTGGAAAGATATTCAAATTATGGTAACTCTGGAAAGTGTGAAGAGTGGTGGCATTATACCGGTAAAGTGCTCTCACTGGGGAGGATCTTTGAGAATTTGTAGAAGATGATTATTTCTCCTAGTAGTTGAGGTTGTATTGGGAAACTGATAGTCTGTTGGTATGAAAGTGCTAGGAAGCTGTCGTTGTAGGTTCCTACAGCCTCCGAGATGATCAGTGGGGCCTTGTGGATCTGCTTCATCCGGTCTGGTTTTGGCGAGAACAACAGGATGTTGAGGAAAGATTGGTAAGAAGAGTAGGATGGATTTATAAGAATAGTGTTCTTGTTTAGATGGGGTATCTGAAACGTGAGCATCGTTCCCTTACTGCGTGGTGGTTTGAGGATGTTATTCACAACTCTCAACGGGCTAAGGTGAGGTCTCACATCGGGCGTGATCCATATCCTGTGAAGAACATAATGACGATGATCGGATGCTCATGATCGCTATTGACTCCACCTTTTCAATTTGAAACTCAGTAATTGAAATTTGCAAATTTGACGAAAGAAATTAGATTTCCGACGAGTGAGAGGAGCTTTTCACGAAATGAAAGTTCAATTTTCGTAGACCGGTTGAAAATGAAAGTTGAAATTCGTAAATGAAATTTATGAATTCGGAAACGCAAGTTCAAATTAGTCGAACACCAGACTAATTTCGATCAAGACTCGTTTTCTCGATTCGAGTGACATCTGTCCGTCCACCGGACAGTTGGTTGGGAGTGTGGGAGAGGACCAAACACTGTGAACCCGAAGCCCGAACCCTCTCTGGGTCTTACCTTGGGCCCTAGGTTCACAGATCATGTTTGGTCACACTAACTATATCACGGAATATGGCCCATGTTTCGTGACATATGTTAGTGTCCCCCAACCAACTTGGGACAAGACTAAAAAAAGGAAGGAACGAGACTGGTTCATAGGTGGAACCATCTCGGTCTCACAACATACAGTTCGAACGATAACATCAGAACACCAACATATTTCTCATTTCGTGCACTTGCTTGAACTTGCTTTCTTGCGAAACCTTCACCCAATGAAAGTCTCTGGACATTTTTCCTTCTGACCTACGATTCGAATCTTAACAGTTATGCATATCTAGGTTTTTCGAGATGGCTTTCTTTAATTTGAGGCTACGACTATAGACTACGAAACGAATGTCAAGTTTCTCATCATGTTGATATTACTCAAAGTTGACTTTCGAGCTTTTAAAAAAATTGAAGGATGTTGGAAATATTACTTGTGTGGTTTACACTGTATTGCTATACTCATCCATTGTTTGTGTTATGAGCAATGGATGGGCAGACGGATGTGCGAATTTATATTTATATTATGTATTGGAGTTTCACCCGTTTTACGTGAAGTGGCATAAAACCCGGTGAGAAATGCGATAGTAACACTATGCAGTAGTCGTGAAATATATTTTCTACTAGTGTCTTTGAAACTCCATTATCAGTTTCACCAATCTAATATAAATATATTAATACCTTCTAACTAGTACTGGATCATCTCGTATTTGCATCGATCGAGTATTTGATAGAGAATGTATGAAATTTGAGTGATGGATTCTTGGAAGGTCCACAAGGATCTTCGAGATCAATCGATCCGGTTAGCCCGGGCGCCTGAGTTCCTGGCGATTTGCTTCATCGGTCTGTTGGCAGTGAAGTGAGTCATGGGGATATTTCGCGCGCCACGAAAATATATTATAGGGTTGGACTATTCGATACGTTGGGAGGTGATCAACGACTCTTCCATTTGCTACTGCATCTTCTGTTGAGGCTGATTACGGTGTCGGAATTTGGTATTGAAAAAGTTGAAGATGGCGAAGTGGTGTGGATGGATGAGGAGGCTGAGGTATGTTCGAATGTCTATTGCTAGTTCTAGAAGAAGTTAATCATAATACCGTTGTTAAGAGGTTAGATAGTGGTGGAAGACATGTACATCGTTTACTGTGTGTCAGTGATGATATGGAGGTCCTGAGGAAAACTTCGGGAATCTTCGTTGTTTTTTGTACACAGCTATCATTATTCGTGGGTAAAGCTTCATTAGCTTTAGAAACTTCTGAAAAGCGAGCATATATTTCCTCAAGACAAGTGTTCGCGAGAGGCCAACACTCAGTGGTGGAGGTTTCCTTTCAGTCGACATCGTATAAGTTCCAAGCGTTTACAATACCGCAGCTCGCTAGTAGATTCCGTGCGGTCCGAGCTGAATCTACTACAGGTGGGTTTAATTTCGTCACTTGTTTAATGAGGCAGTAGTCCGCGCTCATAATACCAGAATGCGCTGTATCCATTAATTGACTATACCAACTAGTGAGCATCGCTGTATTATACCCTACTATTTCACTACACCGATAGTAGACTACTGTATTATGAAAATAAGAGGGAATCTTACAATGCTTGAATTTTTTTCATTTTTTCTTGATTTTTTGAGCTTGTGCACTTTTTGTAACGGTGTGATATTCTATCAGATAACGATGCTATTCTTCGAAGTTGCCTCCACTCGATTGCTGTACCAGTAAGCCTACCAGGCGGGAGGCAGGGGGCAGGTGAGCATCACATCGCTGGTATGACAGTTTCCTTGAAAGTTGGGTTTTTAGATTCATCTGAAAGTATATTGAGTTTGGTCGCATCTCTGGCGGCGACGCCGAGTTGTGCGCAGGAGTACCCTTGGATCGAGTTGTTGTTGAACGCGTTACATCGTAGAGCAGTGAGAGGGACAGAAGACGGGATCCGTGATAAGGCAGGAGCGAATAGTATCGCGCGCCACAAAATTGATCCTATGGTAGATCGAAAAGAGCATGGCTTTGGCGAATATACCCCTTCCTGAAGCGGTTGAGGATCCGAGTACACCAGTTAGAAAGATGAGTACGACTATAGCGGTTGATGATGAGGGAGGCTCTGACACTGAATGTATGTTGAGTCTGTTGTGCGCTTTTCGATCGTTGGTTCTTCGTTGTGATGATAAGTGGTCTCTCTAAGTAAAGGAGAGATCGTTGTCATCATTGAAGCATTACTCGAGATTGTGATGTGATGGCGAGTGTGTATCATCGAAAGCGATAAACGTTAAAAGCAGAGTTCCCTTCTGGCACAGCTGGAAGGAACCGGAAAATGTGTTGTTGTTATCACTGTAGGCAATAAGCGTCCTCGTGGTGACTCCTCCTTCTCTGGGTCTAGTCCAATTGATCCAGAGAAGATCAGACGTCGACGATCGGTACAGCGAAGGATGATGTCAATGGTGAGATGCCGTGTTGAAGGATGTCGCTGATTGGTCCGGACTGTTTGCAACTCGGTTCATATAATCGAGCTTTTGTCTAGGTCTCACTCGAAGGAAAATAACTCAGTGACTGGAGATGTTCGTCTGAATAGGTTCGGGCACGACAGCAGCAGTTCCTTGAGGGCATCTCTAGGGTTAGTCCGTCAGTGTCGGCCAAAAAGGAGCACTCGAGGACTACCGATGATAGCGGGGCTGATGTAAGTAGTGGTGCGTGTTGTGATGAACCGCTCGACGTTGGAACTATCATCATCGATAACTCGAACCATTTCTATATCAGCCGTGATGAAGATGCGCTATATCGCGGGCATGTACGGCTTTGTGTTTTATCAGACTTGCGTTATATGCTTCGGCGGAGCTCCGGAAGCACCTGGGGTGCATCACCACATTTTATCGGATCACCCCACTGCTGTATCTGGGGCACTTGGACGTCTTTGCTTTATCGAAGTTTCAACGTAAGTTGTTGTGAGAGAGTTCTTTGTTACGTAACATGTCATTGGCTCCATGGTAATTCCTCCGGAATGTGTGTCTGCATGGTTCTACTGTTCAGTTATACGGATACACCCCGACCGAAGGTGGCAACAGATGAAGCCATATTACCGTTTGAGGAAAGTGTCAAAACATCTCCTCGCCGACACAGTAGCGGCGGTGTGGTACAGCAAGGACAGAAGCAACAGCAGCAGCAGCCAAGCATGACGTTCTTCTCGCCTGGTCCCACGAGTGTCAAGGCTGTGGTAAGGTGTCCGGTCTCTAAATTTTCCGGTATTAATTCCTTCCTGTTCTTGGATGAGACCTAATGATAGATGCCGTCTCACGACGATCTCGTGGCAAAGCACTTCCGGATCATCACTTTGTTGGTGATCCCAACGAGGTCGAATCTTTCACATTTTCACGTAGTCGTTTCGGGTGGCCCTATGCTTTGTTATTCATTCCTCTAATGTTGAAGCCAGTCTACTGAAAACCGATTCTTGATAACGTTGCCGTTGTCGATTCCTGCGGCGAGAGTCTCACTAGTAAGGGGGCGCTGCTCACAGCCCGTGAGTCTCAGACCGTGGAAAGTGCTCCCCGGCATAGCCTGAATGAGCGTGCGGCAGAATAACGAGCCATTTGCGGGAATGTTTCCATGATGCTGGAGGAATGGCTTCCTGGATGGGTTCCCATGTGAAAGAGTCGTTGGGATGAAGGAATCAGACTCTATTTCTTAGAATGAGTTATCCAACGACATACCATAGGGAGGCTCTATCGGTTAGCAACGGAAACTCGGTGGGAAGCTTGTGCCCTCCAGAAGAATGCGATGAAAAGATAGGATTTCAGTCGAAGACGTTCGGCTACGACAGTTCATGGTGGCTCAGCCACGGTGGTGCTCTGGTGTCACCAGACGGGTGGCCGCTCTCACGACTCGCGGTGGTCCAGAACGAGGTGCTGCATCTGAGAACGCCGAAGTTATAATTTGAGTGCCGAGGTATGCTCAGCAGAGCCCTCTGTACCAGGTGCTCGATAATGTATAGCGTGATACTGGACTCAACGGTTGATGGCTTTCATGTTGAGCGAGCTACTGTTTATGCTGAGATGCATGTATATGAGTAGCAGTGATCGACAATCTACGATTAAAAAGATACTCGACCGTCTTGGTGCCGTTGACGACAAACCAATGAATGGCTTGGCAGACGACACCCGCTTGTTTTCTGTTTGAGAGTCTCCCATTGGGAACTCTCACCACTGATAACTCTCATTACTGACGACCCCCACGAGTTCTCTCTCTCAGAGAGAGAGTCTCTCCATTGTCGACGCATCTCCCGAAATTTTTTTGGCGGCGGCATCGATCCTACAAATCTATAGACGTCGGGATAATATTGGGCGTCACTGTTGCCTTCATCTCTCAGTACTTCTCCGACACCTTCTCGATGGGGGGAGTAGCTTGTTCAGAAATCCTCTCAACTTGCTCCCGAAAGTGTATCGATCAAATAATCTTCGGTCCCTGAGAAGTATCCCCTCTATACCGAAGTGCAGGTCGAATCGTTCCAATGAAGTTCATATCGTCCATACATCAATCATCGTTCCCGTCCATCATTTATCGTTATTGTGAGGCGATTCTGCTGAGCATAGTTGCTTTTGGTGACAGGGGATTCCCCTGAGGGGAAATCGCGCCAATATTCGTAACGGGTTGCTATATAATGTAAGTGGCTTATCAGATACACGGCTGTGGACATTTGCTCCATACAAAGTGTTGGGAAAGCTATCGCGAAGCTGCCGTTGGGAACTTGACATGCCCGTAAGGATGAACTTTCGTTTGCTAGGCCCTGATGCTAGACTGACCCTTCAATGGGCTTGCGAACGTCTTTTGTAGATATTGTAACCGGCCATGCAATGCGCTGTTGCCACCGACAGAATGCTTGGACCACGAAGAACCTCCACTAAGTGAGAGTTTCCGTTCATGATAGCATTATCATTCGTTATAGCCGATCCCTGCTTAAGCCGTGTTTTCCTTCCAGCGACCACCTTTGAAGGATGCCCGACAAGCGCTGCCCGATTCGGGTTGGAGTGTCTGCAAAATCTAGTAGATGTCCTTCCGGCTCTGCAAGGTGGAATGGATGCTAGTCAATGGGAAAAGGTGAGTGTGCATGTGGATATAACAACGCGTTGCGTGCCGTTGCATTGGATACAGCCTCTGGACGAGTCCGCGTCGTCTCATGGGATACACCACTGCTCAGCAAGTATTAGTTTTTCAGTTCCAATTCGGCGATCATTTATCGCCAAGATATGCGGACACTGTACGTAGTGTCTGTTTTGTCTTGGCTGGGGCTGTTGAGGCCTATGCTCGTGCGATGGTCAATTCTGAGTCTAGCTCTATGGCTCCAGGGTAGGTCGGTCGGGTCTAGCAGTTTATATGGCACAGGAGTTGATTAAAAACAGCGTGGTGGTTTCAATATTGATGATGAACTCGATCCGTATTCTTCCATTTGTAAAATACATACGTTCGAGGGCGTACAACGTGTGAACATACGTTGTGTTGAATACATATGTTCGATTTTGATAGTTCAAAACAAAAACAATGTTGTAACTTAGCTAGTTCTCCGATTAGGAATATGAAACCTCGAGTATCAAAAGTTCCAAGCATAAGAAACATTCCAATATGTATTATCATGATCGATCAAGAACCGTTACAGAGTTTGGGTGAGCGACGAGTATAGTTCCTCTGTTCAAATTCGATAGTTTTATGCCTGAAATAGGAACTAGAGAAAGATCTGCATCGCATAGATATCATTTTGTATATACATGTTCGCAGTGTTGGAATATGTGTTCGCTTTCCTCAGCTGAGTCAAGGAGTTTCCTCAGTAATTATAGGAGTTAACCTACTAATTAGGGTAGAAGTGTATAGAAACCAATGAAAATCTCTTCAAATGCCACTGACACATGTAGTCGATTACGCACATGTATTCCAACACTGCCTATTCATGGCGCATCCACTCGGCCTTCTGCTTTCAGTCGTACTTGGAAATGGCTTCTGAACGGTCTCGTGTCTGCGGCCAGAGCTCTGATAGACACTCCCTGTCGCGAACATCTTCGCTTGCTCTGTGCGCAAATGTGGACGGGTTCGACTTGCCGACCGTATATTGTAAGAAATCTTTCCCTGTGCGTTGGCGCTGTGATGGGATGATTCTCGCAGGCTATGTCGCCGTGTTATCGATGGTTCGCGTTGGTCATGAGCCTGCTTATTGATGGTGACACTGAGGAGAAGATACGATTGTGAGCAGACTCAACGTTTACTGTTTCTGCTACTGGAGTCTTCAATCCTAACTATGAGCATAGCTTACGTTCGTGGAATCATCGATTCCTAGCTTGTTGACTTCATTCCGGATCAACTGTTTCATATCCAGGAATTGCGGATTTTTAAAATCTCAAATTCGTTGTCAACACATGGTTTTGTTCGCCTAGTTTCTGCATTTCTGTCCTTTCCTTCAGTTCTGTGGTTCGGTGTGTGCTCTACGAGTCAGCAGCTCCACTGCGACAAGTCAAGCATGAGATGTGGTAAGTCTCCATACAACGCTGATATATGGCGACTGCTGAAATTTTTTATTGCAAAAAAACCAAGCTGAAGGTAAAACCAAGTTTTTTTGTCAAAAAACCTTTGCTGGTTTTGTCATCGGACCCTGCGTTAACGTGATGTTCATTTCATCAATGACTTCGTGATTTTCAGCGGCAAGTATTCAGCCCTTTCTCGATCTTTGGTCGATTCGACTGATGTGTTGGAGGAGCTAGTCGCGGTTGGCACGTGCGATATGCTTTTGAAAGTGAAGGAATTTTGGTATGCTAGGATTGTTCATGGTAAATGATGCTCAGGTTATTTGCCTCCTCAATGTGCTCGGTGTCAGCGATGTGAATATTCCGGCAGGGCCTAGACAGTATTGTTCGTCATATTTCGGTAAACGTTTTAACACTTTATCGGAATTATTCGCCCATTTTATTTAGACGAGCTTTTGTCGACGCTTCCTGTTGGTATGAAAGATGCTTATGCGAAGGTGAGCGGGGCTACACAGTAGAGTTGCACCTGTTTTGTGTGAAGTGGCGCAATACGCTGTGAAAAACGCGATATTCGCGATACGCAGCAGCCGTGAAATATATCTCTCACTGTTTTTTCATATCACGGGTGAAACTCCAGTATTGAGAACTTCATCGTTTGCCAGGCACGTGAGGATTTTACGTTTGAGGCAGTCGACTATGATTCTGATGTCACACACGAAGCCGAGGGATTAAAGGAAGACCTCCGCTCTACTGTTCTCGGTAAGGTTGCTGACTCTTTGCTTATAGCGTTGCCGTCGGTGAGTAGTACTCACTAGCAGTAGTAGTCACTAGTACTAGTACTCACTAGTAGTAGTCGTAGTAGTAGTAGTAGTAGTACTCACTAGTAGTAGTACTCACTAGTAGTAGTACTCACTAGTAGTAGTACTCACTAACAGTAGTACTCACTAGTAGTAGTAGTAGTAGTAGTAGTAGTAGTAGTAGTAGTAGTAGTAGTAGTAGTAGTAGTAGTAGTAGTAGTAGTAGTAGTAGTAGTAGTAGTAGTAGTAGTAGTAGTACTCACTAGTACTCACTCACTGAGTAGTGTAAAAATTTCATCAACGATTTCATCGAATATGTTACCTGGAAATTCTATAGCGTGAAAGATACAAGCCGATCGGTGAAAAATAGCAGTGGAGTTTCACCCTAGTGGTATGAAAAACACTAGTGAATAATATATTCCAGGACTACTACTGCATATCACCGCGAGTATCGCGTTTTTCACCGAGTTCCACGCCTCTTCACGTAAAACGGGTAAAACTCCAATCTGGGAGAGTATGCACGTGGTCAACTCAATTATGAAAATTCTGAGGAAAATTTTGGTGAACTCTTGCTGTTCACTACTACCCGAATTCGTATGTAATCCTCTACAATTGCCGGAAAATATGTTCGCTTTCCTCATCTGAGCTTAAGAGTTTCCTCACTTATCAAACACGTTTAGTATACATACGAATTCGGGTAGAAATGTACGGCAAGCATGAACAGGAATGTACAAGAATTCCCCGAAAATTTTCCTCCGAGTCTTCATGTTGCATATCTTGCCAGACTGCGGTTGGCAGGCTGTTGTCTCAGGCAACCACGCAGCTATTGCCAGGAGCCTCCGAGCAGGCATTGTCACACAGTGTTCGTCGTCGCTCATTTACTTCATAGTAAATATTTTTTCGTATTATCTACGGCGGGCTTTATGATCATGCAGGTGCCTTGTGATACAGCACCAGTGTGCCAAGAGATTGCGACTATTCCCAAGGCAGCATTCCAGTGTCTTAGCAATCATGATTTCGTAGTGCGTCTATCCGGTCGAGAACAGTGGGAGGACTATGTCCAGCTTCATAAGGTTGGTATGAAGCTTCTTGCTATGATCATAGGATTCTCAGATCACTGGCTTTGTTACACTAGCGGGTCCGTTCGACTTTGAAGGGGTTATTTATACGCTGATAGCGGCACCGTACCGGGCAGGAGCAGTGCTGTTGGATTGGCCCAAAGTCTACCAGCGAGTGTAAGCGCCCGGGAGCTACTTTCGTAACTAGGAAATCTGTCACCGGGGGAACTCATTCACAATTTTCCACGTATGGCTAGCAACACATTCTTCGATCAGTTTCCCATGTAAATGTTGTCACATTAGTATCATCATTTTCCCAATTGTTGTCAAGCCCTGGGGAGATGTTATTTCTCAGAGCTACTTCGTGGGTGCCTGGTTTCCACAGGTACACCCAGTTCGTTAATCACAGATGTGTTCGATGCGGAACGGTACCACGGTTGTCTACTGTGTGTCTTATATGTGGCGCGTAAGTGGTACGGTACTCTAGCGGGTCAGCAGTGATCTGTATATGAATAATGATATGTGATTATAGGCATTATATCATCAATATGTGCACAGTACGGTGGTGAAATTAATGATAACTATTAATTAGTTTTCTCGTCAAAAATTCATGTCAACTCCTTCATGTTGGATTTCAAACCTATTCTCACCTCTACTAAAATGGAGTTTCAGCCGTGATATAAAAACTAGTGAAAACACATTTATGTTATTTTATATACAATTGTGTTATCGACCGTGGAAACATACACCTCCTATAATTCACATGACGTATTACACCACTTCACGTTAAGTTAGTAAAACTCCAATTATTATTATCTCCATCCGTGCGTTTATGTTATCTACAATAGTTGAATTTCACCCGTTTCACTTTTAATGGCGTAAAACACGGTGAAAAACGTGATATTCGCGGTGATATGCAGTAGTCGTGAAATATATTTTTCACTAGTGTTTTTCATATCACGGGTGAAACTCCAGTGTACTAGGGCGTTGTGGTTGTCCATATAGGTACCTCTGTTGTAATTCGGATTGTTGCCGTCTCACTATGCGTGGGGCGGATCTGAACGGCTCTGAAGACTCTGACTTGATAGTTCATGATGGAATAACTCAGAAGATGGGGGAAGTGTCGGCACATGCACTCAGATGCGGCCTTGGTGAGTTTTGTGCCAATCTCGACTCAGAGGCTCCCTGCTCTCAATATTTCCACCAGGCCATTGCTCTTTTAATAATTGATATTAGTGAGGTGAATGAATAAGGATTATGTTAGAGGGTTTCTACCTTTGATCGTTCAAGTATTCAATCTCTAGCAGGTGGTTATTGATTATATGTTGAGAGATCTAAAATACATGTTAAATTCCATGGACAAACCAAAAAATGATGATAAGATATGATAAGTAATATATAGTAAATATTACTAAAGAATATAAGATTATGACATCGAATACTTCATAAACTGGTCGAATGAAATTGCTCACTCTTGTAAAATGAGGGATAAGTGATTGCAGTCGAGATTAGTTGGAAAGCCGTGCTTTTCTAATGCTAGGCAGTGTTGGAAGATATGCTCTATTTTCTTTAGAGGAGTTTATTTGCTATCTAGAGGGGTTTATATACAACTTCCGGTCGAAATGAAGAGAAATCAATGAGAATCTCCCAAAATTCCGCCAGAATTCTCATATTGTCACCAACACATCTGCATATTTTTACACACTGCTACTAGGTACGTGTGTGTTTCTGCAGCTCGGTAACAGTGTAGTTCATATCATATCAAGCGCAGCGAAGCGAATAGCATTATGGGGATCTTTGTAAGTCTTGGTGGTTTGTGGCTGTGAATTAAGCGGCCCTTCAGACACCTGGATGCATTCGGTGAGGAGGACTATACTCAGAGCAAGCCGATTCGTCTGGATGTCGTAACTCGATTGCCTCGTTTGGCTGAAGCCATTCGGAATCATAATTTCTTGTGGGAACATGGGAAACTCGAGTGGAAACAAATTGTGTTTGTATGAAGAGTTATCGTAATCATAATTGAATCAGTTTATGTTCATTTTTAATATCTGGATGATGATGAGTTTAGTTTTTCCCTAGAGGAAAAACACACAGCCACGCTATGTTTACACATAGCCCGAAATTATATTCAACCACGTAACAGACATGAGAACATGACATAGAGCATCTTCAACAGTGCCCACTCAGAAATCAACATCACGTAAGATTCAAGGTTGAGAACTTCTTGATAAGAAGTGATCTGCAACCGTTGAAATGTAGCGTACAAGATACTTCGAAACCTTTTGAGCACTTTTGTTAGCGTGTGAGCCGGTGATGATAAGAGTTCAATAGCGAAATTTTGGTGGCAGTAATTTCGATGATGTAGCGTATTACCGTCAATACTTTACCACCTCATCCGTCATTTTCCACACTGCAAACGCGATCTATATGAGCTGAGAAAAGCCAATATATAATATATATTGGCCAATATATATTATATATCCTGATTATTGGACATCATGCTCAATCATAGTGTAACTCATAACGATCGAGCCATATATTGAACTCGGGCCATTTACAGCACACAACACTAGCTTCATTGTCCCGGTAAATAGAGCGTGTACGACCAAACGTACCAAATCTAAAATTCCTCACCTCAGAGGGTGAGTTCGAAGATATCACAGAACGCATCATGCCAGTGATTTGCGGTATGAGTCATACGGTATGACTCTGAGTCATTGACTCATCGGCAAAGACCTTGGAACCCAATTCATCGAGTTAACCTTCCTTCTCCTGTGAAGCTCCAGCAGCTTAGCTGCTCTTGAGATATTTTAGCGCGTGCCATACTCATGCAGCAACACGTGAATTCGAAAACTTCAAGACCAATCTCTGGTCACAGAATTTCATTTCCGATCATACTTGACAGGCCAACTGTTAGCGAAGATTTCCATGGGTACACGGATAATCAGCCAATTTCCATGGCTCGATTAAATTTTTCGCGCCGCTTGACGCGATTCCATCATCTTCTATTCCCCAGCCAATGAACAATATTCGTTTAGATTGACTGCTGGTAATGGTTTCGCTGGTGACGACGACGGCGGAGATGACCTAGGGGACTCGGATAACTTTCGACAGCGATGAGCAACAGAAAGATTAATCTCGAGATCTCTCCCAGACTCGCAACTGATATGTCAGTATCTCTTGCTTAGTCGATTGGCATCCATTAATCGTATTTTCGGTAACGGTTCATCACCTCAATGACTGAAGCTCAATACATGTCCTCTTGTTATTCCTTTCATCACTTGGCTGCAGTATAGCCACATAAATGCAAATCAATAAATTGATTGATGACTCAAGAGTCGTTGAATTCGATGCTGCAAGGTTCGCGTCGTAAGTTAATCAGTCGATTCTGATCATACCCCAGCAAGCAAGTCTCGAGAAAGACGAGTCTCGCGATATTCTCTTTTCGCGGGAGAGAGCGAGAAGAGAAAAGCGCTGAAGAATGGCTACGAAAATATCGCTATAATACCGCGAGAAAGGCCACTATTCCCGAATTCCCGAATTCGATGCTGAATTATTATCAGTGAGTAACTCACCACACTTCATCTTCACCATACGCCGGCAGAACTCAGACAGCGGAGCTTGCGTGACTGACGTTCGTTCCAAAACATCAGCAGCTGAGTCAGCCGGGCTCAGGAACAACCTCACTAGGATTTATATTCCAGGAAGATCAGTCTGATAATCAGTTTTAATATGATTGATATCTCCATGAGCAGTGGTTATTAACCACCGTCATTCATATTGAATGAAGTTCATACCATCAACGCGACACTTGTCGTTTGATACTGATGCAATAGAAATAGCCATGTGTGGTCTCTGACATGTGACAGCACGGCTGTGAAAGTCATAGCAGAAAACCTACTGTACATCGCAAACCTCATAAGTTAGTCCTACGAGTGGTGATTTACCACTGGTAAATCGCCACGATGCTGATAGTTTAATAATGAGAAGAGTATTCGAGGACTATCAGTTGAAATGGTCTGCTCAAACAGCAGAACAATGTGCTGGAACTTTCACTGTGGAACTTCCGCAGTGGAAGTAGTGGTTAGTGGTATGTGAGTGAAGAAAAGACGAGAGAAGATAAAGGGACAGATCATCGAAGCCCTTCATTGGGCTTTCCTCGTACAGAGACAGACATTGTGTTACTGTCCTTGCAAGATTCGGTAGTATGGCCAATATGTTGTGTCAGAGGAGTGGAACAGCTGTGTTGCCGAGTGGGTGTTTCACCACAGCATCTCATGTTCCAAAGCTATCGTGACACTCAGTCTTTGACTCACGAATTGAGAATCTATAATCACGCGATATTCCGTGAAATCCCGCGAGATCCCGCGAAATCTCGCGAAATCTCGCGAGAACGAGACCAAGAGAGAATGAGGCTGAGCCGTGCCCATCCTTATTCTCGAGAACTCTCATCTCGCCAAAATGACGGGGTATGATTCTGATAGCCACGTGAGCCTCACGGATTGCGTGGAGTATCCGAAATGTGGATTCCGCACAAAGCCTCCCACAATGTATATCCACAACTTTTCGCGAAACACGGATATTACTGGCAGTTTAATGAGCGCGACTGGGCCAGTAACATGATAACTGTCGATAAAATAGGGAACAGGGAGTTCTGAAGTAATCCTCGGTTGTATGTCGTGTGTTTGCATGAACCCACACGTCCTCGGGCGCACAAAATTCAGTCCGCACAAACGCTTTGTGGGGAACCTTCGCGCGCACATTCCTTAGGACACACTTCTGACACGTCATAATCCCGAGGAGTTAGTTCAGTATACTGTAGATTCTACGCCATCATCTGACGATCAAGGTTTCACTTTTTTCCTCACTACGAAGTTATGAATAATACTCCTGGGGCCAGGCAGGACTGCGAGGTAGATTCCCAGACAACGAAGACCTCCAACGCTACAAGAACTCCCAACATCATCCTCATGCTGGTGACAATGATGACTCTTGTTCTCGCTGATGCCTTCATGGTTGACGATATCACTGGCAAGACGGTCCAGAGCCCCGAGCCACGTTCTCTTCGTATGCAGGTGGTGAAGGAGGTTCCCGATAATTGCTTGAGTCATAACGACGGGTGGACCTATTGCGCGTTCATCCTCGAGGATTTTAATCAAGTCAATGGTGGCACACGGCTCGTCTCTAGTAAGGGCGACTGGAAAACGCTCGACCTCGAGCTTGGAGTGCTTCTCGCGGCGGACTCGAGCCCGACCGATGTGGGTATTTATGTCTCTGGTGTGAATATCTGGAAATTTGATATTTTCTGTGGCATCTCAGTTGAAGTTCAGTTAAGTGTGCCAACTATCTCGAAGAACGGTGGGTATGATGCTGCTTCCTGGAAGGTAATCGACTTCCCAGTGTCCCTGCAAACCTGGGTAACTGTCCCTCACTTTGGTACGGTGAAAGCGGAGAAGCAGGGCCAAGGCCATGCGTCTGTGAATTTGAACACATCCATGAACAGTAGGCATGAGCTTTCGGTGGACATCCAGGCGGACAACACCAGCACTCCACTAAACTCGAGCATAGAGATTATTGTCAAGAATATTTACGTTCCGGAGGATGAAGCATGGCACTACATAGCCTATGCCTCTCTGGGTTTCAATTTGCTCACAGATGATTTACAGATCTCCTACCAGAAAGACACCCTCCTCTCTCATATTCGAATCCCATTCAAATTTCCCCGTCGTTCCGGATAGTCAAGGACTATAACTACCACTAATAGTGATTCACTATTCTTTCTTTAGTATGGTGGTCTCGGCTCTTGAGCACATGAGGTGCGCTTATCGTTCTTGTTGCTTTTCAACAGTCGCAGTTGTCGAGAAAATGTATAAGATATATGGTTACGTATTTTACGATATTAGAAGGTATGCCAGTCTGACGAACCGGATATTCGACTTTCACATGTGACGGTTGTCATGAAGTTGGTATTTATGTAACATAAATTATTTTACATACCACGAGAAGTCTGACTTGATTCGTGATCCCCGGTTCATTCCGTCATTATCCATCCGATAAGGATAGTAAACCAGTGGAGATAGCGGTGTTGGGTTGCACAACAGTCTATCGGCGATTTCGTCGACACGCGGGGAGTGTGAGGTACAAATCCGAAACGGGAGAATCATATTGGCATTCGGAACTTTAAAATTCGGCTGAGGTCGATGGGAAATTTCCATTGAGAACTTGGAGGCTCTTCACAATCGCTACACAACATCCATCTTCTCGTCACCCAGGGTGGCTGAAATATTTCATAGTGAAATATTTAACTTTTGGCGGATTTTTCGCCTTTTTGAGAGGTTTACGTCAATAACTAGTGCTTGAGGACTCTCGTCATGGATCACGGGCGTAGTTTGCCCTATCCCGGTTGAACTTCAACCGTTGAAGTAGGAAATACTCCAGTCGACCCAGCGGCATTGGTCTTTCTATCCGATAGGACCTATTGCGTGGTCCTGCCGCCTGATTGTGCTACTAGGGCGTATCTTCTGGCGGTGATATAGTCAACCCACCCGCAGGTATTGATCTCATCATAAGATTCTAATGAAGAACAAAATAGCCTCAGACAAAGTGTGCAAACTTTCGGCTATGGAATACTGAAATTCAATGCAATGGAGTTTCAACGATCTTCGTCTCCATTGTCGACAGCGCCCTCCTTCTCGAGAAGTCGGCGGGTGCTCCATCTCAAGAAGGCATCCCTGAAAATCTTCTCCGTCTCGGGCGATTGGCGATAGGCATGAGATGGATTTGTATCGTACTACATTTGAATCAAATGATTTGATCACAAGAGCTCATCCCAAACACCAACTCCAGTTCATCATTGAAAAGCTCGAATTTTGAGCTTCGAAATGGGGCCCCGTATTCCAAAATCGCTTTTATCTTACGGGATGTTTGATGATTCGTGAAAACACTTCGAGCGGCTTCCACTGAGAGATTTCCACTAGCCCATAAAGATTGGCATCGCCAACCCCTTAAGATCCGTCAATCTGGCGAATCTTAAGATTAAGACTCTAACCTCACAAACTTGAAAACTCAAAGAACGTTTCAGAAGTCTCTTAGTCTCAACTTGAGACTTCCAGACTCTCAAGTGTGAGGAGACTAATCTCGAAATGAGATCAAGCTAGAGCTACAGTATTGCTTCTGAACTAAGCGCCGTTTGGGAAACTTACAGCGAAGAACAGAAGTTGTGCGTATTTTTCCCCCAAAATCAAGTTAAACACAAAGTGAGAAAAATGCTTTAGAACTTCATTAACCGGGGATCGTGCTCACGGGGTTTGTGGCACGCGATTATCTACTTCGGCGAAGAATTCTGATGTATTTATCCGCATTTCCGCGAGTTAGGGAGGGGATAAACTGATTGGGCCTCACCGCAGTCTCAAATAAGTCCTTGAGGACGTGGGTTAGTGGAACGAACTGACGCCCTTGCTCACCTTGCTCAAAAAAACTAACGTTAGATCATAAATGTTCCCAAATTGAGGGCGAGTCCGAGGGGCATGAGTAAAGTTCACTCAGTAAACTAACCGGTTCTCATCCTTGAGTGAGACTATCTTATCTTAGGTTCTCGAGTTCTTTACCGTTTGAAGGTAGCCGCTGATAAAAGATTTGCACCGTCAATTACCAGTCGACATTCCCAGATTTTGTAAAATCCTTGAGAAAATACATGCATACTGCGATGATCATAATATGATGTATTCGCTATTATGATAGTCCTTGTGCTCTCATGGTCTCGCATACTGTTGCCGTCATACATGTAGCTGACAAAGGTGATTGAATGTCACCCAAAACCTAGTTTTGGAAAAAATGAGAAATATTTCAAATTTTTCAGAAAATTTCTGAAAAATTCAGTAATATTTCAGGTGAAATCCGGGTGTTCAAGAAACAACACGAAACAGGCTCCTGAGAGTGCTGCTGAATAGCGCTTTTAAAGTGCTCTCCTGGAAGCACGTTCAACTAACGCGCTCCCGAAATATGTCGGGAGCTCTCCTGGGAGTCAGCAGGAAATCTGTTCAAATAACAGAGCCTTGAAAAGCGCGCTTCAAATCCTCTCTTGAGAGAGCTCTTTGCATCGCTTCGCTTTTAGCGCAACTTTTGATCGATTACTTTTGTACTTAGCATCTTTGACAGTTGGAAACAACGAGCCTCTTTCGCTAAAGATTAATGAAAGAGGATCTAGTAGGCGGTTAGTGACTAATCACATACCTTAAGACGGGAAAAAACTAAAGAAACTAAGGTAGATGATCTACCGTAGATCGTTTCACTAACAATTTGTTAGTGGAACTTGAGTAAATAACAAACAAGAAGGGGTAAGTTTACTCAAGTTCCTCAGACTCACTCTTAAGGTAAGAAACCTTAAGATCTAACGCTATTTTTTCAAGAACGGTGAATAAGGGGGTTAATTTGTATCACTAACCCACGTTCTTAAGGACGTACTTTAGATTTCGGTAAGGCCCGGCCCACCGGCGGTGGGGCTCACTCCGACCTTAACTCGCGGAATTGGAAAACTAACGTCACTACGCTCCGCCAAAATCAATGAGCGCGCGCCTCAAATCCTGTGACCACGATTTCAGGAGCGATGAGAACTCTCCTGGAAAACGCAATCCTAAGAGCACTCTCGGGCGAGCGAAAAGTACTTATTGAACATGCCGAGGAGCACTCATCAGAGTGATCATGAGAGCGCTCATGATCGTAGTCCATTGAACGCGTTTTCACGTACTGCTCTCCTGGGAGAGCTCCTGGGTTTGACAATAGCTTTTTTGAACACCCGGAATATTTCACGGTCTGGCGACATCTTACTTCAGCCACCCTGTCGTCACCGAGCATCTTCCCTCAAGCGACCACATCAACCGAAGCTTTGAGCCTCAAATCGTTTTTTGACATGTTTAGGAGGTCTTCCCATTGTCCAGGCCTCACGGCTGTGGGCTTGACCTATACCAAATGGACTTTGGCCTCATCGTCTACGACTTTGGACTGAAACATTTCCATCCCGGAAATGGCATCCCCTGGAGATCGCAAGTCCGTCATAATTGGCTGATACCATCCATAGATAACTCAACGACGCACTCATATAGGGTCACTCTCCGATTCATTCACCCGTGCCACTATTTGATCCATGCTCAACCATCATAGACATTGATATCATCGTTCCGTAAGGGAACCTGTAGTAACCCGCGAGGGAGAGACATTCTGGGAAAAGCGAGGCTCTAAAACTCACACGATCAGTTGTAGTCGACACAACAGTTGTGTTCAGGTGCAGCGATCAATTACTGTCAGTAATCACTAAGTAATTTACTTAGTAATTACTAAGTAATCAGTAATTTACTGATCGCTGCACCTGAACGGGAAAGGTCTGACAAGGCGTTTATTATTCAACACACCGGATGCCGAATACTCCTTGGTTTTGACTATCTCAACCC